CTCCCAACCCTACCACCCTCAACCCCCTCATCACTCCTGGCTTCCTTCTTTCACCCCCTGACTCCTCTCCAAGTCCAGACCACCCTGTGAAACCTCTCCACCGACCCACTCACCACCATACTCCTTGTCCTCACCTCCACCCCTCACTATGCTGCTGTGCTCTTCCACATCACTTGCTCCTCAGCTCCTATCCCTTGCCTGGTCCCCAGCCTCCCTCCAGTGACCCAGGCCTCCCAACCCTACCACCCTCAACCCCCTCATCACTCCTGGCTTCCTTCTTTCAACCCTGACTCCTCTCCAAGTCCTGACTGCCCTGTGAACCCTCTCCACCGACCCACTCACGGCCATAGTCCCTGTCCCACCCCAAAGCTCCCTCCCCCACCGCCGCTTCCCTATCAAGGACAAGAGGAAATGGCCTCAAGTTACTCCAGGGGAGGTTCAGGCTGGATATTAGGAAAAATTTTTTTCACTCAAAGGGTTCTCAGGCATTGGAATGGGCTGCCCAGGGAGGTGGTTGAGGCACCATCCCTGGAGGTGTTCAAAAGACAGGTTGATGTAGTGCTGGGAGGTATGGTTTAGTGATGGTGATGCTTCTTGTTTGCTGTGCGGGTGTCTATTTTTGTCAAAGTTAGGTTGACGGTTGGACAAGATGATCTTTAAGGTCCCTTCCAACCTAGAAGATTCTGTGATTCTGTAACTTCCCTCTGACCAGCCCAAGCTCTCCATCCCCCCCGCCTCGACCCCAGCTCAGCTCCCAACGTCCCCTGAACCCCATCTCCCACACCTCGGTGCCCAACACCCCCTCACCGTCCGTCCGTCCCCCCTCCATGCCCCTGGCGGCCACCCCCCTCAGCCCCTACCCACCCTCCCTCCTTCCCTCTCTCACGGCCTCAGCCCCCCTTCCGCAGTCCCCAGCCCCCTTGTCCCGCGTCCCCCCGCCCGCGGGCGGTACCTGGCCGCCTCCAGGGCTCTGAGGGCGGTGACGGCGAAGCGGTCGGTGCCGAAGAAGAGCACCCGCCATGGCGGCGCCCCGGCCAGCCCCGCCACCCCGCGCGCCGCCTTCACCCCCTCGCGCCAGGCCCGCAGCAGCCGGCCCCTCATGGCGCCGCTTCCGGCGCCGCGCGATGTCGTCAGCAATGCGCGCGGAGCTCCGCCCTGGGGCCGGGCGATGCTGAGGGGGCGGCGCCATTTTGGTGCGGGGCGGGAGGGGAGGGACCGGGAGGAGAAGCCCGCGGTGTTGCTTCAAGCAGCTCGTCACTCCGCGGACGGCGTTTTTCTGCCTCTCCGGGGCCGTAGCACCGCGCTGAGGGAAAGGCGAGCGGTCCCGGCGGATCGCAGCAAGGCCTCAGCCCCGCTCATCGGCAGCGCACCCCGAGTGCGGCCTCCGGCCCCGCGGTCTCTCCACAGCGTCCGTGCTGACCGAGCGAGCGTCTCCCGGACACGTAACCCTGGCCCTCCTGACCGTAAATTGGCCGCTCTGCCAATATCAGCGCGAAGATAACGGGGAACGTCGTCAGGGGTGTTGACCCGGCGGCCGCTGATACTCTGCTGGCCCCAAAGCAGCCTTTGAAAAGCTCCTATCTGTGGCTGCTTCTGTGGAGAGCTGTGTGCTAACAGTCATTATAATTTAAATAATGTTTTTTTCTATAAACTATGGGGTCAGAATAACCACTTAACTATCTTCTATCATAACATACGAATAAAATCATTCTACCAAGAACATTCTTTTTCCCCGTGGGAAGATGGTTTATTTGTGTGGCGTTTTGTTTAATGTAAATGACATAGATTCCCTGCACAGTTAAATCGCAGTGTATCCTACAATCTTTGACACTAGGAACTTCTAAAAGATGGAATGTGCGAATCTGGGAACATTTCCTACATGCCAGTGAAAACTGGTAAATTACTTGGATGACAGAATTTCTGTGGGATGGGTCCACCAGGGGAGGATCACTGAGGAAAATTAAATTTTGTGTTGTGCTAAGCGGCTCTTTCCATATTCATTCCCTTTTTCGCATCTGTTCTGCCCATCGTTAGGGCTTTCTTCTCTCAGAAGTGGGAGGTGCCGCCAGCTCCAGTGGTAGAAACAAAGGAAAATTGATGAAAAAGTGCTGTTAGAGGTTAAAAGAATTTAGAAGTGAGTCAGGCCATCCTAACTGAGGTGCCTGTGTTCCTGCACCCTGAGAAAAGGAGAATAAACTACTACATAGAGAGGTAATTTCCTGGCTGAGAATCAGTACGTAAAAATCAATTGCCCTGGAAAATTTAAGCCTTTTTTACCTGGGGAGCTCCGTGAAAATCCTCAGTTTAGTCACAATTGGGACACTGTTCAATTGCAGCCGCCTCTTCTCAGGGTGCACAGCTGAAAGAATATAGTACATATATTCTAATGATATAATAAGTAAAAAGACAAAAAGATAAATGAGAGGGGGATGAAGATGAAAAAATGGCTTCTGCTCGAGCAGAGATTAAAGCAACCAGCGTAGTTTGTCTTGGAAAGCAGATGGGGGAAGAGGGGCAGGCGAGCGGCCCCGGCTTATCAGCGATAGTATGGAGATGGTAATCAGGGACCAATTAGTCATTGCACAATAACTCAGTGATTACAGGCAGTTACGGGTATCAGGGCACCAAAAGAGAGGAAGCAGGGCCCCGCACAGCGTGTAATTTGACCACTTATTATCTCAAGCGCTGAAAAAAATTTGCTTAATATCTCAGATGCTGAAAAACACTCGTGTTTTGCGGAAGCAGCCGGAGCAGTTGCTGGAGGGAGATGTCCCGTGTCGTGCAGGGGAGCACCAGCTCACTCTGAGGTCTTGGGTGAAGCCCTGGATTTATCACCAGTGCTTCAGAAAGGCCAGGGATCGACTGTGTTTGGATGACCCAAAAACTGGGAATTTCAACCCAGCATCTGGCTGCTGCTTAGTGTTAATTTCCAGGTATCGGATCCCGGCATGGGAAGTGTTAAACATATCGATGCACATCTGCACTGTGTGGGGAGGGATTCTCAGTTCTGCCTGTGGTTAAGGCTCCTGGAAACACTGAAACTCCGTGCTGAGTGATTGCCACGAAGTAATTAATGATTCATTTGCAGTAACTTCATGAATTGGACTTAAATTCACTCCAGTATATATTTGCTCCCGAGTAATTCATCCTCAGCTCTGATGTGACTGTACAGTTCAAAGGGATTACAGCTGTTATGCCTTGGACACAGTGTACATGAATTTTACCTGAAGATTTATTTGGATATAAATGTTTTTTCCAGCAGAATGAAAGCAACAATCTGATTGTCTCAGGGAAAAAAAAATAATAAAAAAACCCTCACAAATCTTGCTTTCCTACTGCATTTGAACTCTGCTTTTGTACATGAAAAAAAAAAAAGCAACCCTGAATGTTTGGTTATTCTGTAACCAGGCATTTCAGGTCAAAGACACAGAAAGGATCAAAAAAGATAAGCAAAATTGAAACACCAAGGTCAGACAAGTTGTAAGCTCTTCCTAAGAGTAGTGAAGACAAATCCGAGGAGGAAGCAGAACACAAATCAATGTCCTATCTCCACTTTGCTTCCCAGCCAAAGACTCTGAAAGCGTCTCCAAGAAGTAAAAAGATACCTCCCGTTAAAGGGTGCCAACGTTGTCAAGGGAAATATGAAATAAAACACTCACAGCGATCGCTGGAGAGACCGTTCCTGAGCGCATTCACGTTCCTCTGTAGAAGGAGAGGGTCGCTGGGTGCAAGGGCCAGCTCTGACCAGTGGGAAACTGGTTTTATTTCCATGTACATCAGGCTGAGTCCTATATAAATCAAGCCATGTTGGAACCTGGGATGAAAAGGGACCTTCTGGGGCTTTGCAGTCACCCTTCCCCACTTAGAGCCACCTCTTCACCGCGGGTAGCATCTCCATCCCTCTGCTTGGAGGAGACTGCACTACAAGGGCCAGGCATTTGCTTTGTGCCCTTCTCAAAGGCAGGGGGGCAGAGGATTGTGTAGCTTGGGAGACCGCTTGTTGTCCTGTCACTGTCACCTCTGGCATTCCCTAGTGTGATGGCACTTTTTAAACCATCCAATTTGAAACGAGGAGGAAACAAGGCACAGTTTACAGCGTGGCGTGATGTCCCAGCTTGACCTGCCTCCCCCAGCAGAGAGGAGCTCTTGTTCCCCAGAGGATGTGTTTCTGGGCGAGAGCTCCCATCGGATCCCTGCCAGGCTGACGCTGAACAGTAAAACATCTCTGTCTGGGGAGTATGTGTGGCTGCGGGGTGAAATTCCACAGGGGCAGCCAGAGGAAGCTCTGAATCGGACATGAGGTGGGATTCAAAAGATTAATCACACTGGAACACGGCTTCAATGCCAAAGACACTGTATTTCAAGCTGGAAAACACCGAGAACAGGACAAACATGGAGGTTGTGCCTGTCTCCCATTGAGCTTAAGCTAACCAGTGTTAGCTGTGTGCTCCAGACCCATCACGGAGAGGTACCTAGCTCCATCCATGGATCAGGTAGTTCAGGGAGGAGGAATCCTCCTTTCCAAATGTGGATGGCACCAACAGGTAAGCCATCAGCTTTTAGGATATTGACTTGGCCAGCTGTGGCCAGTACCTCTGAAACAGGGGTGGCAACATCTCCAGGGATGGCAGCATCTCAAATGGGTGATTTGTGCTTTGCCTGCAAAGTCAGTCGCTCTTGTAAGATGTTCCGTGAGCCTTAGAATGACTGCTAAAAAAAACCCAAAAAAAGGGCTAATATCTGCTTTATCAGGACATGCTTCCTTTATGCCAGGAGGAATGAGCCAGGCAGAGTGAACGTTATCTTTTATTTTAACCCCAGGGTAACTTATTACTGAGTGTCATTCTACTCGGCGTGCTCTTCTAATAGTGATTATGCCAATAGCTTGAGCAAATAAGCTGGAAGTTCCTAAGGTTCTTTCTTTGGGAAAAGGTCATTCACCTCGTCCTGTAAATGGACCCACTAAAGAGGAGTGTTTTCTTTTTTTTTCCAGGGGCTGGAGTGAACCTCACCTGTTGAACTGGCCTTCACACATGACTCAGGAGCAGAATGAATCACAGCTCATAGCATTCCGAGAGTAGGAGGAAAGGCAGTCGTGTGGCCGTGGTGAGTCGCTGACGGGCGCTCAGAGGAGACGTCTTCAGACACCAGGGCTTCAAGAAGAAATGTAGCTTCCTCTCTGCTGGGAACTGTGTGTTTTTGGTGAGTTAGCGGAGAGGAACGGACATTCCTGGTGCACTAGCTGGTTGGGTTAATTTATAGCTATCTGCAAAGAAAGGCTTGTTTGTTTATCTGTTTCGGTTAGAAAGCTCGGGTCCGTGGAAATTTTAAGCGAAGGCTGTATGGATTGTTTAAGGAGAGACTGAATGGCAAGTGAGAAGCAGGCTGAGATAACTCCTGAGTATAAACAGCCTGGAAAGCAGCCAAAGGAAAATATTTAATGTAACTCGGATTTGCTCTTTAACTTTTGACTTTTCAAAGGTTAAAAGATAGTACAGACTGCCTTCTTGCTTTAGTATTTTAAATATTAAACATTTTTCTTGTGTTCTTTAATTCCACTTTGTCCTTAATGTACCTTTATAAACGAACCTATCCATTTGTATCTCCATGGTATTGTATACCCTGTAAGAATCCCAAAGACAGGACATCCCACTTTTATAATGTATTTGGAATAACTGACGCATTTTAACATTATCAATTTAGATAAGATAACCACCAGAAAGAGAGTCTGACAAGAGGAGACTATTTTACAGAGACCAAGACATTCTAAGTGCATTGTTCCTTATTGTGTAGCGAGTAGAGTGTCCAGAGGGACTCCATCATCTCAACAGAAGCTGTACTTGGTGGTCTTTCCAGAAGACTTTTTTTCCCCCCTCATCTTTATCATTATAGTAATTATCTCAAGACCTCTCGTTTGCAGAGTGAGGGCAACATCTGGCTTGGTAAAGAGTCTTGAGTATTAGACCTGATGAAACCCAACGTACAGAGCACATGGTGGTTTCTCAGCACCGCGTGCTGTGCCCTGGCTGGAAGGTGTCCACGTGCAGCTGAGTGCGTAACCCTTGTGGGGTTATGCCAACCTTTAGAGCATCGATCCCTCAGCTCTGCCTTGTGCCTGTGGTGGGGCTTCTATCTCCAAAGGCTTCCATCATGAGGAAGGATGTTCACGTTTAAGTGCTGGGATCAATACGCAGAGCAAAAAACCAGTCACTTGCCATTTTTCTGTACTTTCTTGAGCCATTTAAGTGCTGGGATCAATACGTAGAGCAAAAAGCGGTCACTTGCCATTTTTCTGTACTTTCTTGAGGTCTCATAGGGTGCCACCAAAGTCCACAGATCCTGATTTTGAACAAGAGGATTTGGGACAGCATTGGTGAGTGACTCTGTTCCTGGAGTAGGCACAGTGTATAAACTTTGCAGCTTTTGATGTGAAAATCCCACTTGAAAACAGAAAGAAATTACAGAATCGTTCAGGTATAAATATAAACTCAAAATAACACAGGTGAAGTGTTTCCTTGAGAAGTGCTGGGAGATCCAGACTCTCCAGAGTGTGTCCAGCCCAACTGTGGGATTTGCTGTTTCCTTACTGGGGAAACTGGTGGTGTGGTCAGTGTCCTAGACCCTGCTCAGGCTCTCCGGTGGGGTAGATACAGTATCCCATTTGAAACCAGAAAGAAATTACAGAATCGTTCAGGAATAAATATAAACTCAAAATAACACAGGTGAAATGTTTCCTTGAGAGGTGCTGGGAGATCCAGACTCTCCAGAGTGTGTCCAGCCCAACTGTGGGATTTGCTGTTTCCTTACTGGGAAAACTGGTAGTGTGGTCAGTGTCCTAGACCCTGCTCAGGCTCTCCGGTGGGGTAGATACAGTGGTCTGAGAACACTTTGTTTTGTAGCTTTGGTGAATGAAACTTCCAAACTGGTTTGGTCAGTTTGATGTAGATGTAAAAGATCTTCAAAATAATCAGGGAGTGGGTTGCCTTAAAGTCTTCTACGTAAATTTCCTGTTAAAGCATGATAAATATCCATTCTGCTACTGTATTGTGCCTGAGACGTACATCTCCTGGGAGAGATTTGGTGATGCTGAAGGCTTTATGAAGTAGTGAAATACTTTTAGCAGCTTTCTAAAGGTCCCTGCTGGGCATGGGAGCTTTAGTGCGGACGCCAGGAGGTGGCCCAGGACTTATGAAACACCTTAGGAGAAAATCAGCAACATGCATGTCAAATATTCCTGTTCCAACAAACGATTAAGACAGAAGCCTTGCACAGCAAGATTTCACACACTCGAGTGGCACGACTTATTAGGGTGTAGCAGACTTGTAACTTGATTTCATTGGCACCAAGACTTTATTTCCTCCTTTCTGAGGGGTGATCCATGTGAATAAGCTACAGCTTACCTGGACGGTAAGGTAATTGGCATCCCAAACTGCAGGGAGCAGCTTTACCAATATTTTTCTGAAATACAAAGTGGACCACGTACTTCAGAGCCCCGTCCTCAAAAAATTGCTAACAGGTGGTTTTCTGGCAGCAGGGAGCAGGCCCGCATGCCTGGTTGGCTATAAAATGTGAACTTTGAATTGTGAAGACATTGAGAAGGGGGGGAAAATAGTAGCAATCATTAGGTCTATAACCGATAGGACAAATGCTTCCCTGAAGAGTCAGCAGCGGCGTTGTTGACACGCCTGGCACGGTGGAACATGCTGGTGAGCAATTTCCAGGGAACAGTTTCAGACAGTGTCAGGCCACCCTAAAAAGGCGGGTAAAAGTTGAGAGTATCACACAGAGTCGTAAAAGTTCCAGGCTTCATATAATAATTAATGGCCTGTGGGGCCAGCGTGTCTGAGGGATGCGTGAGCGTTGTGGTGTCATTCACCTGGGAGGGAGTGATGGTTCAGGTGAGGCCCGTGAGCGGTGGCCTGGGGGGAGTCATTTAACCATCTCAACTAACTCACAGTGGATGGAGGGGAAAGCCCTTTGCTCAGATCAGGTCCCTCCAAAGGAGGCTACAGAACAAGCCTTGGACAAGAAGTCATAAAAACTGGATTGATGCCACTGACAAATGAGGGACTAAAGGTCAAGGATGAGCTTTCTGCTTCCCTGAGGGATGGGAGATACCTTTGCCTCCATGGCAAGCTGTCTTTTCCTCCTCTTGGAGCTGAGCCCTTCACTTCCTCATCTCCATGCCCTTATTCTGCCATGCCTGATTGGCAGCAGGTAGTCACTGGCCACAGAGTATGTGTCCTCTAAGGATGGTGGCAGGGAGCAAGGAGGGAAGCAGCGAGGGTTGTTGGGGAGGGGGTGGCTCCCAGCAGCCCAGCTCCCATCTGCACAGGGTCACCTAGTGAGGGGTCCCAACACTGTGAGGTTCTCCCTCACCTCTCATCCCTCTCTCTTTCCCAGACACCCGTGCACTGAAGAAACACCGGTGAAGGTCCCTCCAAAGGAGGCTACAGAACAAGCCTTGGACAAGAAGTCATAAAAACTGGATTGATGCCACTGACAAATGAGGGACTAAAGGTCAAGGATGAGCTTTCTGCTTCCCTGAGGGATGGGAGATACCTTTGCCTCCATGGCAAGCTGTCTTTTCCTCCTCTTGGAGCTGAGCCCTTCACTTCCTCATCTCCATGCCCTTATTCTGCCATGCCTGATTGGCAGCAGGTAGTCACTGGCCACAGAGTATGTGTCCTCTAAGGATGGTGGCAGGGAGCAAGGAGGGAAGCAGCGAGGGTTGTTGGGGAGGGGGTGGCTCCCAGCAGCCCAGCTCCCATCTGCACAGGGTCACCTAGTGAGGGGTCCCAACACTGTGAGGTTCTCCCTCACCTCTCATCCCTCTCTCTTTCCCAGACACCCGTGCACTGAAGAAACACCGGTGAAGGCGTGATCCATCCCAGCGGCACAGGCAAATATGAAGTTCTTCTGGCTAATCCCATTTTTCCTGCTGCAAGGTAGAGTCTTGGCTTAGAGGAGGATAGTGTGGGTGAAGTAGGTCACACGTGCTGAGGCTGTGCCTCTCCACGGGCTCTCACCCACACTCGGCTCAGCAAGGGGGTGGAAGCTGCACGTACACGTGTAGGAGTTTCCAGCATTGTTGTAGGACCTTAGGAATGCCTCACTGGCTGAGGGCAAAAGCATGTGGATAGTATTAGGGCAAAGACAGGCATTAAAATCCTGTTGCAATCTCTTTGATACCCAGGAAGATGGTTGTCTCATGGACATTTGATTTTTTCCCCCAATATCAATGTATGTTGGGGGGAAACATACCCAACCTTCTGCACCTCTGCTGTGTGGAGGGATCCTTCAGCTGACACTTTAAGGTTAGAGAGCCAAACTGGAAAGACCTGAGCCCCAAACGCTTCCCCCTGTGGTCCCCCAGAAACAGAGACGTTGGAGGCAGTTCCTATTTCATCCAGCTGAAGTGGGACATCAAGGTGTCTGTCCCCAGAAGCAAAGCAGAAGCCAGCAATGAGGTTCCCAAAAGGGTCTGAGCCTCCTCTGCTTGGAACAAACCAAGAGAGTAGCCTCCTGTCTCCCAGGAATGGCAGGAAGGGGCTGAGCGTGGGCCAGGCTGTGGGGCAGAGCTCAAGTCTAGGACAGGAGCTTACCATGGTCTCTTCTCCATGGAACAGCTACAGATACAGCTTCAAACAGAGCTCAGCACTAGTCGCAAGGGCAAGTCTAGCTGAGCTTCCCAGGACCCACCCAAAAGGATGTGCTGAGAAGTGCAGGTTAGGGAAAGTTCAGCTACGAGCCCAGGAGCTCAGAGAGAAGCTGGACTGGAGGCAGTTTGCCTCTTGAATGCCTTTTGCCCTACGCTGCTCTCCCAGTTCCAGGCCTGGGTGTCATTCCTGTCTGCCCTATACACTCTGTGTGTGTGTGTGTCCTGTGCTTGGGGGGTGGCCACGCTCATACGGTGCTTTCTTTGCAGACGCTGCAGCTTTTCTGATGAAAAATGCTAAATTCAAGCTGTGTTTACGAGCCAGCGTGGTAGGTGAGAGTTTGCTGCTGGAGGACTGTGATCCAGAGTCAGTTTTCCAGGACTGGTCTTGGCAAGGAGATTCTCTGCTGAATCGTGGCACTCAGAGCTGCCTCTCCCTGGTGGGGTCCAACGGGGTGCAGATGGGTCTCTGCGACAGAACGAGCTACATGAGCTGGGACTGCTCGAATTCGCTGCTCTCTCCTCTGGGTGGCAGCCAGAGCTACCTGGTGGCCAACAAGAAAGGAGTCACCCTCAGTAACGTGAGGAACCTCAAGGCCCAATGGCAAGATGCGGCAGACAGGAGCGTCTGCGAGGTGAAAGCAGGTAAGAGCTACAGACCCAGGGACAGGTGACACACACACACACACACATACACACGCTGCTGGGGAATGTGGAAAGGCACAGTCAACATCTTGGGGTCTTTCCAACCCTGCGTGTGCCCGATAAGCAGTGTGAGCCAGGAATGCTCTCCACTTTTCGGTGCGTGAAATAAGGCTGTGCCCTCGTGGCTACGTTCTGCCTGGTTGGAGGGACGTGCTGGGCAACCCCAGGGGCCAAGGGGAAGGCCATTTCTGGCGGAGGGGAAAGCCCTTTGCTCAGATCAGGTCCCTCCAAAGGAGGCTACAGAACAAGCCTTGGACAAGAAGTCATAAAAACTGGATTGATGCCACTGACAAATGAGGGACTAAAGGTCAAGGATGAGCTTTCTGCTTCCCTGAGGGATGGGAGATACCTTTGCCTCCATGGCAAGCTGTCTTTTCCTCCTCTTGGAGCTGAGCCCTTCACTTCCTCATCTCCATGCCCTTATTCTGCCATGCCTGATTGGCAGCAGGTAGTCACTGGCCACAGAGTATGTGTCCTCTAAGGATGGTGGCAGGGAGCAAGGAGGGAAGCAGCGAGGGTTGTTGGGGAGGGGGTGGCTCCCAGCAGCCCAGCTCCCATCTGCACAGGGTCACCTAGTGAGGGGTCCCAACACTGTGAGGTTCTCCCTCACCTCTTGTCCCTCTCTCTTTTCCAGGCACCCGTGCACTGAAGAAACACCGGTGAAGGCGTGATCCATCCCAGCGGCACAGGCAAATATGAAGTTCTTCTGGCTAATCCCATTTTTCCTGCTGCAAGGTACCGTCTTGGCTTAGAGGAGGATAGTGTGGGTGAAGTAGGTCACACGTGCTGAGGCTGTGCCTCTCCACAGGCTCTCACCCACACTCGGCTCAGCAAGGGGGTGGAAGCTGCACGTACACGTGTAGGAGTTTCCAGCATTGTTGTAGGACCTTAGGAATGCCTCACTGGCTGAGGGCAAAAGCATGTGGATAGTATTAGGGCAAAGACAGGCATTAAAATCCTGTTGCAATCTCTTTGATACCCAGGAAGATGGTTGTCTCATGGACATTTGATTTTTTCCCCCAATATCAATGTACGTTGGGGGGAAACATACCCAACCTTCTGCACCTCTGCTGTGTGGAGGGATCCTTCAGCTGACACTTTAAGGTTAGAGAGCCAAACTGGAAAGACCTGAGCCCCAAACGCTTCCCCCTGTGGTCCCCCAGAAACAGAGACGTTGGAGGCAGTTCCTATTTCATCCAGCTGAAGTGGGACATCAAGGTGTCTGTCCCCAGAAGCAGAGCAGAAGCAGAGCAGAAGCCAGCAATGAGGTTCCCAAAAGGGTCTGAGCCTCCTCTGCTTGGAACAAACCAAGAGAGTAGCCTCCTGTCTCCCAGGAATGGCAGGAAGGGGCTGAGCGTGGGCCAGGCTGTGGGGCAGAGCTCAAGTCTAGGACAGGAGCTTACCATGGTCTCTTCTCCATGGAACAGCTACAGATACAGCTTCAAACAGAGCTCAGCACTAGTCGCAAGGGCAAGTCTAGCTGAGCTTCCCAGGACCCACCCAAAAGGATGTGCTGAGAAGTGCAGGTTAGGGAAAGTTCAGCTACGAGCCCAGGAGCTCAGAGAGAAGCTGGACTGGAGGCAGTTTGCCTCTTGAATGCCTTTTGCCCTACGCTGCTCTCCCAGTTCCAGGCCTGGGTGTCATTCCTGTCTGCCCTATACACTCTGTGTGTGTGTGTGTCCTGTGCTTGGGGGGTGGCCACGCTCATACGGTGCTTTCTTTGCAGACGCTGCAGCTTTTCTGATGAAAAATGCTAAATTCAAGCTGTGTTTACGAGCCAGCGTGGTAGGTGAGAGTTTGCTGCTGGAGGACTGTGATCCAGAGTCAGTTTTCCAGGACTGGTCTTGGCAAGGAGATTCTCTGCTGAATCGTGGCACTCAGAGCTGCCTCTCCCTGGTGGGGTCCAACGGGGTGCAGATGGGTCTCTGCGACAGAACGAGCTACATGAGCTGGGACTGCTCGAATTCGCTGCTCTCTCCTCTGGGTGGCAGCCAGAGCTACCTGGTGGCCAACAAGAAAGATAAATAAATTCTATGGATGTGCTGAGAAGTGCGGGTTAGGGAAAGTTCAGCTACAAGCCCAGGAGCCCAGAGAGAAGCTGGACTGGAGGCAGTTTGCCTCTTGAATGCCTTTTGCCCTACGCTGCTCTCCCAGTTCCAGGCCTGGGTGTCATTCCTGTCTGCCCTATACACTCTGTGTGTGTGTGTGTCCTGTGCTTGGGGGGTGGCCACGCTCATACGGTGCTTTCTTTGCAGACGCTGCAGCTTTTCTGATGAAAAATGCTAAATTCAAGCTGTGTTTACGAGCCAGCGTGGTAGGTGAGAGTTTGCTGCTGGAGGACTGTGATCCAGAGTCAGTTTTCCAGGACTGGTCTTGGCAAGGAGATTCTCTGCTGAATCGTGGCACTCAGAGCTGCCTCTCCCTGGTGGGGTCCAACGGGGTGCAGATGGGTCTCTGCGACAGAACGAGCTACATGAGCTGGGACTGCTCGAATTCGCTGCTCTCTCCTCTGGGTGGCAGCCAGAGCTACCTGGTGGCCAACAAGAAAGGAGTCACCCTCAGTAACGTGAGGAACCTCAAGGCCCAATGGCAAGATGCGGCAGACAGGAGCGTCTGCGAGGTGAAAGCAGGTAAGAGCTACAGACCCAGGGACAGGTGACACACACACACACACACGCTGCTGGGGAATTTGGAAAGGCACAGTCAGCATCCTGGGGTCTTTCCAACCCTGCGTGTGCCCGATAAGCAGTGTGAGCCAGGAATGCTCTCCACTTTTCGGTGCGTGAAATAAGGCTGTGCCCTCGTGGCTACGTTCTGCCTGGTTGGAGGGACATGCTGGGCAACCCTGAGGGCCAAGGGGAAGGCCATTTCTGGCCCGAATTATTGCAGTGAGCAACCATTTCATCTTTCTGCTCTTTTCCTGCACAGCTGAGGCAGAGCCAGACAGGTACTTCACCGCAGCGCTTGTCAGCACACACACCTATGACCCCATAGCAGGGAACATCACCCTTGCGCTGGGTATGGATGGAGCAGAGCTGGAGGAGCTGCTCTGGTTCTTCCGCAGAGAAGACCGTAAGTCCCATTGACCTTCCTGGTTTGAGAGTTGAAATCCAGCTACACAGTCCTGGGCTGTTAACCCTCCTGCCTGATGGAGATGCCCAAAGGAATTACCCCAGGAGGTGATTTACCCCAAAAATATAAACCCTCCTTCTCACCTCCGCAAGATGGTGGCCATGGTGAAGACAGGCATGAGGCTTTGCTGAGATAGTGTCTGCTCCCAGAGGGGGTGTTCAGCCTCTTTCCACCTGCCAAGAGAGCAAAGGTCTGGGATGACCAGTGATTTTGGCAGGGTGGAGGGAGCAGATCGATACGAGCGGGTCAGCGCCCCGAGGTTCATCTTCAAAGCCACGAAAATCAAGGCTGGAGCATCTGCTGCCGCCTGTGCTGCCGGTGTCCGAGGGCAAATTCTACCTGCCTGAGCGTGGCAGCAGGGAGGAAAGCTGCAGAGCTGGGGGGAGGCCCTTCTTGCAGTGCCCGTGGTGGGATGCTGCCCCTCTCAGCCTGGCTCCCACCCCCAAGCACGGCCGCTCTCAGCTCTCCAGCGAGGATGAGGAGCCATGAAAGGCAGATGTGGTGCAGCGTTGAGATACCAGGGGGCTGGGAGAAGCAGAAGGCAGTTGTGTAAATCAGTCCCTTGCCCAGGAAGGGAGAGTTGGTTGAGATTATCCCCAAAAACGTGAGCTGGGTCCTCACCTCTGCCCTCATCCTGCAGCCAAGCCATGGCACTCTGAGGTGGGGACCCTCAGAAGATGCCTGGCTGGGCTCTGCAGGCCACGCTGCTCTGTGGGGGCTGATGTTGCCTCTCTGTGCTTTCCTCCAGCCTCGACGTGGAATTACTCCGTCCTTGCGCTTTCCTTCGTGGCCATGATTTTGGGTCTCGTCCTCCTGGCCCTTAACATTGTGCGAAACAGGTGAGTCGGAAAAATTTGGGGCTCTTTTGGTTGCATGGTGGTGCACTGAGACCTGCCCAGGCAGGGGTTTGGGCAGGGCAGGGCAGCACACTGAGGCACAGGGCAGGAACGAGCCCTGGGTGATGGGGAGAAGAGAAAAGGTAAACTCCCTTTGAACTTTGAAGAGCAAAGGTAAACTCCCTTCATTGTCAAGCCCTGCCTGACTCCCTGCTCTCCTCATGTGTCACTTGGAACAAGTGGCTTCTCCAGGCCCTGGATCCTCACTGGTAAAGCATCTACAACAGCTCTGCCCAGCCCAAGAGGGCTGTTGGGAGGGAAGTGACATTAAATATGTGGGATGAGATGCTCTCCCATAAAGTAAGAGGGAATATAGGGGCTCTGGAGCAGGACACCCCAGCCTTTCCCCATCTGCGTTCCCACAATGTTCCCCTGGGCCATACTGCACAGCAGCCCTGCAGCTGGGGACAACTCACTGTCTTCTACCGCAAGAAAGCTTACATCTGGGCTGAAACTTTCATCTTAAAATGAGAGGAAAAGAGCTAACATTACAAGCCTGCCATGCTCTCACCTGACTGATGGCTTGCTGGGTGCTGCCTCCTCCCTTTGACACCCCAGCCTTTCCCCATCTGCGTTCCCACAATGTTCCCCTGGGCCATACTGCACAGCAGCCCTGCAGCTGGGGACAACTCACTGTCTTCTACAGCAAGAAAGCTTACATCTGGGCCGGAGCTTTTGTCTTAAAATAAGAGGAAAAGAACTAAAGTTACAAGCCTGCCATGCTCTCACCTGACCAATGGCTTGCTGGGTGCTGCCTCCTCCCTTTGGGTGCTGTGGTGTTCTCTGAGTGCAAACCCCACAGCTGTGGGCACTTAAACATCTCACAGCTCTTCACATGACCCAGAACAGCTGGTGGGCATTGCCTGGAGGCAGCTGATGTGTTCCCAGGGGATGCCAAGAAATGGATGTCACCACCACGGCAAGGGGAATAGGTCTCCAGAGCAGGGCAACAAAGCTGGTGAGGGGTCTGGAGCACAAGTCTTATGAGGAGAGGCTGAGGGAGCTGGGGGTATTCAGCCTGGAGAAGAGGAGGCTGAGGGGAGACCTTATTGCTCTCTACAACTCCCTGAAAGGAGGGGGTAGAGAGGTGGGGGTCGGTCTCTTCTCCCAAGTCACAGGTGACAGGACGAGAGGAAATGGCCTCAAGTTACTCCAGGGGAGGTTCAGGCTGGATATTAGGAAAATTTTTTTCACTGAAAGGGTTATCAGCCATTGGAATGGGCTGCCCAGGGAGGTGGTTGAGGCACCATCCCTGGAGGTGTTCAAAAGACGGGTTGATGTAGTGCTGGGAGATATGGTTTAGTGATGGTGATGCTTCTTGTTTGTTGTGTGGGTGTCTGTTTTTGTCAAAATTAGGTTGAGGGCTGGACAAGATTATCTTTAAGGTCCCTTCCAACCTAGAAGATTCTGTGATTCTGTGATTCTGTAATTCCTTCTTATGCTTCCCCTGCAGGAAAAGGAAGATCCACGCCTACGGAGGAGCAGAGCAAATGGTCCAGCAGGATGAGCTGGAAGCCAAGCAAGCCCTGATGCCCGTGCAGGAGTACAGCCCAGCCCAACTGCAAAAGCAGGAGCCGGTGCCCCAGGATCATAGATCAGGAGACGTGATGGTCCAGTGGAAGGACGGGACCGTCACCTCCCTGTACACAGCGAGGTCTGAGGACGCCGTGTAACGGCAGCTGACGTCAAACCATTTAGGCCTTAAGGAATGTGTCAGAACGTCTCAATTCGGAGTGATGGAAGTTTAAAAATGCAGTTTAGCCTGGGGAAAAAAAGAGAGAGAATAAAAAGAAAGCAGCAGAGCTGCACCAGGTGGCTCTGGACTGGAGGCAAACCCGTGCCTCCCCCGTTTCAGCTCCTGGCTGGTCTTCACCCTGCTGCCTCCAGCCTTCTCTCCTGCACCAGCATCACCCCCTCCCTCGGCTGCCACCTTCCTCCCTGCGACGGGTGGGAGCTGAGCTGGGGCGGGAGGTGGGAAACTGGGGGCTCTTCCTGAGGCCGGCCAGGGAACACACTGAATTTCACTGAATTTTTAGAGTTGGAAGGGACCATAGAGATCATCTCGTCCAGCTCCCCTGCTAAAGCAGGATTGCCCTCCTGTCCCGTCAGGGAAACAGCCACGCTGAGGTGCTTTTGTTCTTTTCAGAAATCGTCTTTATTAAAATATTTTCCAGGGATTGCCGTCCTGTCCCATCAGGAAAACAGCCACACTGAGGTGCTTTTGTTCTTTTCAGAAATCGTCTTTATTAAAATATTTTCCAAAGCGGTTGATCGAAAGCCCGTGTTGAATCTCTCTTTCCATCACTATAGGTCATATATATATATTTATATCTATATGTACAAATATACAGGTGGATGTTTTTCGAAAGCCTGTGTTGAATCTCTCTCTCCATCACTATAGGTCATATATATATATATTTATATCTATATGTACAAATATACAGGTGGATGTTTTATGCCACAGAGTGGCTGCAGCTCCAGGGAGAAGCAGAACATTTGACCTGACACAGCAAATGAGACAGAACACGCAGCCCCTGGCCCTGGTGAGGGCACAGGTGGAGCCTGCTCTGCTTTAGCAGCCACTTCTCACCCCTCACCGGGCACGTGGAGAAGCCACAAAATAATTTAAGACATTTTTTTGGAAATACATCAGTCTTTTAAACGAAGGCTTTTCAGAGCCTGTCCTCACCAGTGAAGCATCTCTCCTTGAAAAGCCTTTGAAAAGCAACAGCGGATTGTAAAAAGTTGGTTAAAAACCCAGCTCTTTTGGTATGACTTATTTCGATGCAGGGGAGTTGGTTTCAGAACGCCTTTAGTTGGCTGAAACAACACCTGCACCTTTCTCGTTTAGATTAAAAAAACATATAAATTCTTCCTACTTATTGCTCTGGTGGGGGGGCTGTGAGACGAACGAGATGGGTGCCTCCATACCTGATTAATTAATTCCCCCCTCCTGGGCTCCCACCAGCTGGCTGGGGGGGTCCTGGGGGACACCCCTCACCCTCCTGGCGTTGCTCTTGGCTCTGGCTGCTCCGGAACTCCTGGGATCCACATGGAAAATGGGGTTGGCTCCCGGTGCTGGTGGCAGGACAGGGTGCAAGCACCACGGCAGTGCTCAGCCAGGGGGGCAGAAGAGCCTGGGTGGGCACAGGCAGAGGGATGCCACAGCCAAATTTGGGCCCTCAGCTCCCCGTCCACACGCCAAATCGCCACCTCAGGGGGACCTGGGCCACTGTTTGCCCATGAGTCCATCATGGATGGTCTCATCCCTGGTGGAGCCGGGAGGGATGGGGGGGTCTCTCACCGCCCCGGGGGGGGGAGACATCCTAAAATATCTTGAAGCCTTTCAGCAAGGTGAGCGTGGGAGCTTTCCTCTTGCTCTGAGCCCGCGAGGACTTGACGGTGACCAGCTTGGCCTGGGCCACCGAAGGGATCTCCTTGCAGTTGAGGGTGGAGAGGGTGGTGAAGGTGCAGCTGGCCACCCCGTGGCGGGCGGGCAAGGCCACCGGCGTGGCCACCGGCAGGCAAGGCCGCTCCTCGGTGATGAAGAGGGGCCGGAGGGGCTGGCTGCCCTCCGCCTGGCGCCGCACCTCCCGCACGGCCTCGTGGAAGACATGCTGCACCCCGGCAAAGTCCTGGCACGCCGACACCTCGTAGAAGAGGGACCCGAACCTGGTCGCCAGGGACATCCCTTCGGCTGCAGGGACCTGCCTGGCGGGAGAAGAGGGGACGGGGGCAGCATCCGTTAGGGATACAAAGATGATGAGGGGGCTGGAGCATCTCCCTGATGAGGAAAAGCTGAGGGACTTGGGTCTTTTCAGTCTGGAGAAGAGAAGGCTGAGGGGGGATCTGATCAATGCTTATAAATACTTCAAGGGTGGGTGTCAGGAGGATGGGGCCAGGCTTTTTTCAGTGGTGCCCAGGGACAGGACAAGAGGGAATGGGCACAAACTTGAATATAAGAAGTTCCATCTAAACACGAGGAGGAACTTTCCTGTGAGGGTGGCAGAGCCCTGGAAGAGGCTGCCCAGAGAGGTGGTGGAGTTTCCTTCTTTGGAGACATTCAAACCCACCTGGACACGTTTCTGTGCGACCTGCTCTGGGTGGACCTGCGTTGGCAGGGGGTTGGACTAGATGATCTCCAGAGGTCCCTTCCAACCCCATGTGATTCTGTGATCCCCTGGGGTGCTGTGACCACCTGAAAAGCTGGGAGCAAGGGGTGCCGGCTGGGAGCAATGGACCCTGTATCCCAGTGAGCACTGAGCAGCATCTGCTTGTCCCACCTCACAGAATGATACGGAGTTGGAAGGGACCTCTGGAGATCATCCAGTCCAACCCCCTGCCAGAGAAAGGTTACCCAAAGCAGGTCGCACAGAAACGTGTCCAGGTGGGGTTTGAATGTCCCCAGAGAAGGAGACTCCACCACCTCCCTGGGCAGCCTCTTCCAGGGCTCTGCCACCCTCAAAGTGAAAAGTTCCTCCTCATGTTTAGATGGAACTCCTTATGTTCAAGTTCGTGACCTCCTGGGACAAGCGGGGGACATGAATCCAAAAGAGTTTTGCCTTTCCCGAAATCCTGGAGCAATGAACCACACAGTTCCCTGGGGAATCGTGCAACTTCCCGTGCTGGGGGGGTGTGTGTGTCAGGGACACGGGGAGGGGGGACTGGACGTGATGGCGGTGCTCTGGGGAGCAGGTCCTCACTGTGGGGAGGGGGAAGCCTCCCTGCCGGGAGCACGGGGGGGTTCGGCAATGGGTGGGGGGGTTTCAGCAATGTGTGTGACTCAAGGATCAGTGGGATCAACGCTCAGAACAGCCCAAAAAGCCAGAAAAACACAGTGGGGATGGGGTGAGAAAGGGCTCCAGGGAAAGGGCACATCCAGAAGGGGAGCGAGGAGCTGGAGCGGGTTCGAGCAGCGTCACCGCAGCCAAAAAACATCCCTCTGGAAATACCAACGGGGCTCAAAATACACAACATCAACCCCCCGGGCAGGAGAGCAGGAACCTCTGAGATGTAGGAGAACTTGGTGAATACCAAGAAGTGGAAAGGACCACAAAAAAAAAAAAAAAATCAGATTTGGGGTTTGCATCCCAGCCGGAGGGATGGGGGGGGTGATGTGTGAGTTCTCCCCCCCAGCCCCACCAGGAAAAGACAGCCTGGCCCCCTGCCCGATACCTGTACTGCTCCATGTCCAGCTTGTTGCCCACCAGGAGCACGGGGCAGTGGCGCTGGTGATGTGTGAGCTCTCCCCCCCCACCACCAAGAAAAGACAGCCTGACCCCGTGGCCAATACCTGTACTGCTCCATGTCCAGCTTGTTGCCCACCAGGAGCACGGGGCAGCGGCGCTGGCAGCCCCTGGCGTGCAGGGCGAGGACCTCCAGGTAGTGCTGGCAGCCGTCAAAGCTCTTCCTGTCCTCGATGCTGTAGACCACAAGGAAGGCACTGGCCCAACGCAGGTAGCGCTCACAGTTCCCGGGGCCATCCTGGGGGATGAGAGGAGCACCTGAGCCCTGCTCCAGCCATGGTCCAGCCAGGTCACGCCGGGTATTTGGCACCCAGAGGTGCCCCGGTGCCTCACCTGGTCGGCGGTGTCCATCACCTTCAGCAGCACGGGCTGCTGGTCCACCAGCTCCTCCGAGGCGTAGGTGTCCTCTGCAAGGAGAAGCGTGGTTGTGAGGATGGGCTTTGGGGAAGGGGGGGGTCTTCTCTAAAGACATTTTTTTTTGTTTGGTTGTTTTTTTGTTTTGTTTTGTTTTGTTTTGTTTTGTTTTTAATGTGGTTGGACTCGATGATCTCGGAGGTCCCTTCCAACCACTAAGATTCTGTGATTCTGTGAAAGCCCTGGATGCTTGGAACATAGAATCATAGAATCATAGAATGGTTTGGGTTGGAAGGTACCTCAAAGATCATCTAGTTCCAACCCCCCTGCCCTGGGCAGGGACACCTCCCACCAGACCAGGTTGCTCCAAGCCCCATCCAGCCTGGCCTTGAACCCCTCCAGGGATGGGGCATCCACAACTTCCCTGGGCAACCTGTTCCAGTGTCTCACCACCCTCATAGTAAAAAATTTCTTCCTGAGATCTAATCTGAATCTTTCTTATTCCAATTTAAAACCGTTTCCCCTTGACCTATCATTACCCTTCCTGGCAAAGAGTCCCTCCCCAGCTCTTCTATAGGCACCCTTCAGATATTGAAAGGCCGCTAACGTGGTGGAAAAAGTTCATCCCCTCGTGAGGAGGATCCTCCACCAATGTCTCCCTCCCGAGACACCATTATTTGGGGGTGCTGGTGGTGATGCTGCTGGGAGAGCCAATCTGGGAGCAGTTATTTCCCCCTGCCTGGGCTCCCCTGGGAGACAGAGGGAGGGGAAGGAGCCCAGCGTGGCAATCACTGCCTCCAGGGCTCAGCCCTTATCTAAATGCCAAGACCTGGTGAGATAAAGCGAGCTGGGGGCTCGACTTCGGGGCTGCTTCCCAATAAATCAGGCAGAAGGAGCACCCCTTTATTTCGGAAGGAGGGCAGGCAGGGAGAGCAGCTGAGCCGTTCCCCTGGGAGGAAGATGCCTTCTCCCAGCTGGGTCCTAACGGATGTGTTTCTTAAAGGTTTTGACGTGGGAAGATGAAACCGCATTCCCAAAAACAGATCCGAGGAGGAAAGGATTTATCCTTCTTTCCTAAGAGTCGCTGAGTTATTAAGGGCTGGAGTTCCTGGACAAGGTCCATATCTCCCTAATGTCCCCGATAAATCATTTACGGTTCTTCCCCGCGCCCTGGAGTCAGGCCTAGGAAAATAGTTATTAATTACTCAAAGAAGTGGAAAAAAAAATAAAAATGCCCAGAACAGCTCACTGCAAAGCACAGCCCCCGGAGCTGCCCGTTCTGCAGCCCCCACTTGCTGCCCCATCCCCGTCCCTGTCCCCATCCTCATCCCCTGCCCGACACCCCCAGGAACGAGCAGGAGGCACGAGATGCTCCCCAAAAATCCCCCAATAATTCAGTTTTCAGTTTCTTTGGGGAGGAACCGACGTTGCCCCGTGGGATGTGCCCGCGGAGAGAGCGCTGCTTCCACCTCTGCTTTCACAGCAGGTGGGTTTGGGTCAAATCCTGCCCTTCCGTTGTTTTTCATGCAATTTTGAGTGGGATTTCCCCTCCCCGCTTCCCCCCTTAAATGCCATATTCCATATTCATGGGAAACACAGGAGATGGGAAGGATGCTCCGTGGGAGCTCATGGGGAACAACCCAGGGGAAAAACCCACGGAGAAAGAGTCTTACCCAAGTTGGGGTCATACTCGCTGATGAACCTCTTGGTTAGAAACTTCACGGTCAGGGCTGTGGGAGGTGAAAGAGGTGGGTGAGGTGGGGGTCCCCCCATGGCACCGGCACCCTGGCACCCCCCAGGCTGCCTGGCCATCCCCGTGGTGGCAGGGCACCCTTCTCACCTGACTTGCCAGCCCCTCGGCACCCCAGGATGGCCACGTTGCACTCGGCGAGGGGGCTCTGGGGCGGCCGCTCGCCCCCAACTCGGGGTTTGCCAAACATCGAGGACATCCTCCGTCCTGGGGGAGAGAGCGAGGGGACGTGGGGCACCCACTGCCACGCCGGAGGGGGACCTTCCCGTGGGGTGCCCCATCCTGGGGGAAAAAGGGGTTGAGCAGCATCGAGGGAGGGAGATCTGCTCCCCTCCATCCGCATCCTGCAGCCAGGACAGCCAGCATCCCACCCCACCAACGACAGGGACATCCCCCTCCATCCCTCTGCCCACCCATCGCAGCCCAGAAAGAGAAGAGAAACGCAGCATCCCACCTTGAAACCCACCGCCGGAGGAGATGTGGGGCTGGCTGGGGGGGCTGGGGGAGCGGCGGCGGCCGCCGGGGCTGCGGATGAATGAGGCAGGAGGAGGCTCCCTCCGGCTCCCATCGCCCGGGCCCCGGCCAAACTCCTTGTAAGGAAAGCTGCCGCGCCGGCGGCGGGATGGACACGCTGCCCCCGCCGCCCCGAGGACAGTCACACGCCAGCCCCCCAAGCTCCTTCAGGCTTCAGGCAAGGGACCCCAGGCCCCCAAAACCCACTGTGCCCACACTTGGTGGCCACCTCGCCGAGCCCCCAGCAAGAAAAAGCTCAGTCCCGCTCCCCTGGCTGAGGCCGGTGCACTCATGACACCTCCCGCCAGCAGGAGCAGTGCCCCAGGAGTGATGCTGCCAGCACAGCCACCCTCCTGCCCACCCCATTTGAGCACAGGCACCTTCTGCTGCTGGCAGAAACTTTGCAGGGATAAAAAAACCCCCAAAAAATCAACAAAAACAAAACAAAAAAACCCAAAAATGTGCTTTTTCCACCCAAAAGGCAGGATCCCGAGGGGAGGACGGGGAGCACTCACCGCTGCTGCCCGCACCGAGCCATCAGCCAGCACCCAGTGGGCTCGGAGCCCGAGTAGGTGGTGGAGGCTGAAGTCAGCGTTGTCATGGCGATTGCAGGCGTTTTGGGATGGGGCTCAGCGCCCGGGACGGCAGGATACGGCCCCTGGACAGCCCCGAGGGGTCCCTATGGGGGCGCGGGGGGGGGCTGTACCCAGGGCTTGGGGGGCAGAGGCTGCTGCTGCTGCTGTGCCCTTGGGATTATTGCCCGTTCATGCAGGGAGGATATTTTTAAACCCTCCCAAAATAGTCTGGGAGTGGGGAAGTTCCTGCGAGCCCCAGGGATGGGGAGGATGAGGAGGATGAGGAGGATGAGGATCGCTCCCCTGCGGGAAGCAAAGCCCCTCTGGAGACCCCCAGACCCTCTTTGGACTCAGGGGAAGGATGCTTAAAAGCAATCAGAGCTAATTGTGGGATTTTAAATCGGGGTTTCCATAATGATGGGAACACAAGTGCAAAGCTCTCACCTTCGCCCCTAAATTGAGATTTTTGGGGAACCCGCTGGGGCCACTTTTGGGGAACCCCCTGGGGCCACGATCCTGGGGCAATGGCTTTGTTGTCACACGGTGCCCCTGAAGGTCCTGGCTGCTGGCAGGAGGGTGCTGAGGAGAGGAGGAACAGATACACCTTTGGCAACGTGGAATAAATCATGCATCAACAAAAAAGACCAGGGGCAGGTGGTGATGAAGGGAACTGGGGGCCCTGTCACCATCCCCCCCAGAACCCCACGGCAGAGACAAAATGGGATTTCTAGCCAGAAAAAGCTGGGAAGAGCAAGCACACAAATGAGCAACGTGCCCCAAATAACACTTTTCTTCACCATCAACCTCTACATGAGTTTTGGGGGGATTGTCTCTGCCCACGGGGGAGCAGGAGGGGACTTTTTTTGGGGGGGTTGTCTCTGCTCCACAGGGGAACAGGAGGGGACTTTCCCCCAGAGCAGGATTTTGCTGCACTTCATGTTTTTTCACCCCAGGATCCCCAGGTGAAACACAAGCTGGTTTATGGCTCCTCGCACCGGGGATGGATGTTGCCCAGGTTGGTCCACACCTCCTCCCTGGGCAGGGTGGCAAAGGGAATGGCCCCAGAAAGGTCTCTCCCTCCCCATGACCACGCTCAGGGGCAGCAAAACCCCTTTCCTATGGCTGGGTGGGATGGCATGGAGATTTGTTGAGGTTACCCCCTCTCTGTGGCCATAAAACTCACTTTTATACAGAAAAAAAAAAAATCAATAGTGCTGGAAAACGCTCTTCCCAGCCACACAAACGTGTTGCCCTCCCTGAGGGCATCACCAGGAGGATGCCCAAGAGCAAGGAGACATAAACCCGGCTTCCCCGGGGGGTGGTGGGGCATCCTGGGTGGGTGGGATGAGCTGGGGCATCTCCACCACGACCCAGCGGCGTCAGAGGAGCCCTGTCTGCGTTTTGGGTGGGCAGCTGAGCTCTGTGGATGCCTTTGAAAGGTCACGAGCTCGGCTATCTTTAGCCCAAGGTATTTATATTACCAGGCAGCGGCGTGGCGGCCGCCAGGCAGCACAGGGAAGGCATCAAAGGGTGGTGGAGACAAGAGGGGGCTGCACCAGGACACGGCAAAGAGGACCATTCCCCCCCCCAGCCAAGAGCTGATGAGCCCAGAGGTGAGGATGACCCCAGAGGAGGAAGGTTCCCGAGCAGGGCCTCCAGAGCGGGTGCGTATCCGGGTGGAGGAGCAGTCATTCTGGGTGGAGAAGACCTTGCTGGTGGAGAGCAGCGAGTACTTCCGTGCCCTCTTCCGCTCGGGCATGAAGGAGAGCACGCAGGAGGAGATCGGGCTGGGGGAGCTGAGCGCGGCCGGGTTCCTCGCCATGCTGCAGGTGCTGGCGGGGGAGAGGCCCGTTTCCCCGGGGGGTGGTGGGGCATCCTGGGTGGGTGGGATGAGCTGGGGCATCTCCACCACGACCCAGCGGCGTCAGAGGAGCCCTGTCTGCGTTTTGGGTGGGCAGCTGAGCTCTGTGGATGCCTTTGAAAGGTCACGAGCTCGGCTATCTTTAGCCCAAGGTATTTATATTACCAGGCAGCGGCGTGGCGGCCGCCAGGCAGCACAGGGAAGGCATCAAAGGGTGGTGGAGACAAGAGGGGGCTGCACCAGGACACGGCAAAGAGGACCATTCCCCCCCCCAGCCAAGAGCTGGTGGGCCCAGCGGTGAGGATGACCCCAGAGGAGGAAGGTTCCCGGGCAGGGCCTCCGGAGCGGGTGCGTATCTGGGTGGAGGAGCAGTCGTTCTGGGTGGAGAAGACCTTGCTGGTGGAGAGCAGCGAGTACTTCCGTGCCCTCTTCCGCTCGGGCATGAAGGAGAGCACGCAGGAGGAGATCGGGCTGGGGGAGCTGAGCGCGGCCGGGTTCCTCGCCATGCTGCAGGTGCTGGCGGGGGAGAGGCCCGTCCTCGGCAGCGAGGAGACCTTCCAGGCGGTGGAGTGTGCCGCCTTCCTGCAGGTGAAGCCCTTGGCCAAGTACCTCATCCACTCCATCAACTCCGACAACTGCATCCTGCTCTACCAAGCCGCCGCCATATTCGGTCTCCTGGACCTCTTCCACTGCGCCGCGCTCTACATCAGGGACAGCTACGCCGAGCTGGAGGAGTACCTGGACTGCCTCTCTGCTGACCTGCTGGCCTACGTGGAAGCCCTCCTACCCAGCACCTTCGTGGCAGTAGGAGCCCACACGCCCACCTTTGAGTTCTTGGAGGACCTCTCCAGGACCATCTGCTACCTGGATGAGGAGACCAACACGTGGAGGACCCTCTCCTGCCTGCCGCTGACTGCCAGCACGTTCCTAGCCGGCATGGCAACCATGGATAATAAGATCTACATCGTGGGTGGTGTCTACGGGGCCAGCAAGCAGGTGGTGGAGAGCAGCTTCTGCTACGATGCCGATGCCAACGCTTGGAGCGAGTTCCCCAGCCCTCATCAGCTGCGCTACGACGTCAGGCTGGTGGGCCACGAGGGCTACCTATACGCCATCGGTGGGGAGTACGAGAAGATCTCGCTGAAGTCCGTGGAGAGGTACGATGTGGCCTCCAACACCTGGACCTTTGTCTCTGACCTGCCGCAGCCGAGCGCGGCGGCACCCTGCGCCCAAGCCATGGGCCAGATCTTTGTTTGCCTGTGGAAGCCGCTGGACACCACCGTCATCTACGAGTACGAGACCCAGCGAGACGAGTGGCTTCCCGTCACCGAGCTCAAGAGGCACCAGAGCTACGGGCACTGCATGGTGGCCCACCGTGACAACCTCTACGTCATGCGCAACGGCCCCTCGGATGACTTCTTGCGTTGTGTCATCGACTGCTTCAACCTGACGTCGCGGCAGTGGACTGCCCTGCCCGGGCAGTTCCTGAATAGCAAAGGGGCCCTCTTCACCGCCGTCATCAAGGGTGACACCGTCTACACCGTCAACAAGATGCTGACGCTCCTCTACTCTGTGGACGAGGAGACCTGGAGGTTCAAGAAGGAGCGGGCAGGTTTCCCCCGCAGCGGTTCCCTGCAGACCTTCCTCCTGCGGCTGCCGAGGCGCGACCACGACATCGCAACGTAGGTGGCCCCCATCCCACGTCGGGATGCTCTCCTGGCACGTGGCCTTGGCTCTCCACCCACCGCTCCCCTTGGGCTCCTCTCCTGCTCTGCAGAGCCATGCCCAGCTCCAGGGACACGTCACGCTGGACCTTAGAGGTGACACTAGACCCTGCCAGCACTGCATGGGCTGGTGCAAAGCCCTACCAGATGTGGGCTCGTGAGCCAACCACGTGCAGAGCTTCATGGCTTCTGCAGAGGACAGATACCAAAGAGACACAAACATGGGTTCTATTTATTCTGACCACACTCTGACGGTGGGCAGTATCCCACCTCCTGTCTGCTCCGATGGGAAATCGTTCAGTATATCCTGGAATTAAAAGGAAAGCTGTAAAGAAAAACTGTGCTTTCGTTACTCTTGGGTTCTGGGGTTTTTTTTTTCTTCTCCTTCTGGAGGAAGAAGCCTCCTAACAGGGATCCACGTCAAGGCTTGCTCCTGCCCACTGAGTGCTTTTTCAGCTGCGGCTCCGTTTCAGAGCCGTGCGTGGGAGTGCGGTTCCCACGCGGCCCCACGCTCCCCGGGGAGGTCCCGGGCCCCACCAGGGTCCTGGGAGGAGGAGGAGGAGGGGAGAGGGGAGATGGGGGATGAAGGAAAGCATCTGCTGGGCATCGGGTGCTTAATGCACTGAGGGGTTTCTGGGACCTGGGCCCCATCTGTCCCCCCCCCCCCCGAGTGTGTCAGCCAGCCATCGGCTCCTCCAGGCTCATCTGAAGCCCAATGGGGTGGCATTTGCTGGTGCTCATCAGAAGCTCGTTTGAACCAAGAACAGGGTCTTTCTCAGGACATGGCAAAGCTTGGAAATACAGAAAGTGCAAAAAGGGGAAGGAAGGGAGAGAACACCACCATTGGGCAGCAACGCCAGGCTTGCAGAGGTCTTCTCCATTAGCAGTTCTCATGAGATACCACCACCCGGTGTTGAAGGTTGCTAGCCCTCAACACCAGCTCTGGGGACAGCTGTAGAACACGAAGCTCTCCTGCTTGGAGACCAGGGGCAACAGCAAACCCAGCCCATGGCTCAGCTGGTTCCCCATCCATCCCGGCCGAGGCGGAGCGGAAGGGAATACCAGCTGGGATGCCTCAAATACCTCCCCTGCTGACCCTCGCCAAGTTCTCAGCACTTCCAAAACAGTTCCCGCATTTGAGAAAAAAAAACAACAAAACCCACACAACACAACCCCAAACCAAAACAAACAAGAAAACCCCAGCTCACGTCCACATTGAAACCCACTCCATGCGCCTCGTCCCCATTTGCCCTCTGCCACGGGGCCTGGCCACCACCATGTTGGCACCCCTGGGATGGGGACGGCAGCCGGTGGAGGTGCTGGTCTGATGGTGGCACAGGGGAGGAGGCAGGGGACACTGGGGGGACCTCACCCAGCTCCACACCGTGCTGTGGCATCAGCTGAGCGGTGGCACCGTCCTGGGGCAGAGCCTGAGCAGAAAACTCATCAAGTCAAGTCCTTGTTCCCTTCTTAGATGAAGTCAATTAACATCTCACGCTGTCTTCTCCTAACTGAAAGCGGCGCACAGAAGCACACTGCCTTAAAACCAGTTTAAGTTGAATAAACAGCCTCAACCCTCCATTAGAATGAAGTTAAAATAATTCTGTTACTAAAATATTCCTCCCGTGGCTGACCCGGGAGAGCTGAACTTGGCAGGCTCTCCCCTTCCCTCCAGCTCCGACACCACCAAGAGATGAAACCTCTCCCCTCACCTTCAGATGTTGGGTTTTTGACAGTTCGGGGGTTTATGAAGACATTTGCCAACCAAATGCAAAAGGTTTTAAGATTGTAAGTATAGCACCTGGAGAAAAGAGCAGGTCTTGGCAAGCACTGATGAGTGTGGCATGGATGCTCCCAAGAGAGGAGTGATTTTTTGCATCCATCAATCCAGGGTGTGATATAGAAAAGTATAAGAAGATCATTTTAGGTGCACAGGGAGGAAGAAAAAAAAATATACAGTTCTTACCTCTGTGAGCAGGGGGGGAAAAAACGATGAGGCAGGACCCAGCAAATCTCTTAAGGAGAGCAAGAGGCTGCGCAGCCTTTGCAGGACGAGTGGGCACCAGAGCTCAGCCCCCGGCGTCAGGCAGCGCTGGCAGGGGCACAGCACCCTTATCTTCCCCTCTCAATCTTGGGGGTGTTGACTCCGCCAAAGATTGCAGTTTGAGGCGAAAGCCATCTATCTAATCACAGTTTAACCTTTTGCGAGTTTCTTTTTTTTTTTAAGGTGACATCATCTTGGCAAGGAGGAACCTAAGGGGAAAGCTGTCTGTAGAATGGACTTGCCTTATAAGGGCCGTATCAAAAATAAAAGCTTGTATAACCAAGGGAAAGCCGGAGTTTAAAACAGGGCTGGGAGCTCCAAGAAGAGCCCCTCAACCCACAAATATCTCCCTTGGCCATACGAGGTGCCCACATTTTCCTTTTCAGTGCCATTAAAGAGGAGGAGGTATAAAGCATCCTTGGCTAGGGATGGGTCAAGTTTTCCCCCCAAAAGCTGGATGTAGAGTTTCCTCATGGCATCCACGGGAGGAGGAAGGCAGCCGTGGAGGGCTGGACCCTCCTGCTGGTGTTTGGCTCCTGCCTGGAGACCCAGGGGGAAGGGACACAGTGTTTTCACTCGATGGCAGTCCCTGGGGCTGGGACATGGCTTGGAAGGACACAACGGAAAAAATGGTACTAATGCAACTCATTAAGATTTTTTTGTTTTCTCTGCTAGGTTGTGCCAGTTGGCATTTTCACGGGAAAAGAACACAAATAGATTTCAGCAGAACCTTTCCAACCATCTTTACTCCAAGAAATTACATCTGTATCTAATGTGCAGGAGAAGAATGTACTTTTGGGTGGACACTGCCCGCTGCCCCACTGCCAGGCCAAGAGACACATCCCAAAGGGTCACCTGAATCTCCCACTCCCCATCCTCCACTTACATACAAAAATTCCCCCCGGCATCCAGATTTCTCCAATCCTGACATTAATTCTTAGCTTCATCTGGAGCCACCTTCTCCACAGTTTAGGGAAGCATCCTCTGGATTTGCCTGATTTGGGCAGAGCTCTGGGCAGCCGAGCTGTTCCCCAGCTCTCTGCTCCCATTTCACAAAATTCCCCGAGCACAAACCTTCACATGAGCCATTTTTCATGGCGCCAGATAAACTTCATGTAGTTCTAGAGCAAGGGCAGCCTGTTTTCTTTCCTCACCCTCATTAAATTGGGTATTTTTCTCAAGTTTCTGGTTTAAAAGGAGAAGCTAATGGGATTTGACTGGATTTCAATGACAATATTTAACCATGACTAAGTCAGCTGAGACTCTTCCCAAGCAAGGACCAACAACTGCTTCTGCAGGAGCTTTCAGCTTTTATGGAAATAATCTCTTTTGTTGATTTATATAATATTTTAAGAATCCACAGTTGACTGCAGTTGAAAGCAGGGCACTTCGGGAACGAGCTGCAGAAACGGTGCTACCCATCACAGCAGGTACAGGGAGAAAACTGTGGTTGGGGTTTTACAGAATTTAAGCTGAAGGTGGTTTGGATCTTGCTGCATCTAATCTAAAGAGCTGAGATGATCGAGGGCGGAGATGTGTGGGTGAAGAGATGAACACTCCTGCTGTAAAGCCTTTGCCTTAGTACAGTGACAACCACGCTTATGAGGGATGTCCATAAAATGAGATGAGCCACCAAGCTGGTCCTCTGAAGGTTTGTGCCAGGTGAGTGGTGCTGCCAGGGCTGGGGATGGAGCAGAAGATGGGTAAGTGTGAGTTCATCCCCCCAAGTCCTTCAGTGGTCCAGTCTGGAGAGAAGAAGGTGTGACTGGGGTCCGGGATGCTTCTCAGTGGGCTTTCATCACGAGTTCCTCCAGCGCCTTCTCCCTCTGATTCCCACAAAGCAAAAGAACTTCTTTGATTTCATTTTGCTGGAACCCCATATCGTTAAACTGAGCTAACAAATGCAAGAATTCAGCTGCCTGCAGGAAGAAGGAAGAGAAAGGAGCGATGTTATCGTGGACCTTTAAGGATGGATTTCTCACAGAGCTGCAGCAGAAACGGGTGTTGGGTGACCAGGCTGCAGCCAGACGACCTGGAGGGGTTGTATTACTGGTGAAGGGCACTCCTGGTGCAGAGCAAGGGCACACACACACTGCCAGCATTTAAAAGTGTGCCTTGATATCAACTTTTAAAGTAAAAAATATTTAACACAAGTCAGCCTCCAGCTTCACTTACTCCTTACAAAGTTTAACGCGAATTCCACGCACGCGTTTGCCTGCGTTATAAAGAGACCAGGGGAAGGCAGTGAGTAGAAGCTGGAATTAATTTGTCCTGTCCCCCCCCAGGCTCAGGCTGGGCCCCAGCACCAAAACATCTCCCAGAGCTGCGTCCTCACTAAATAACCCCCTGGTCTGACACTGAGACCCAGGTGCCCTCCCGCTGCCGCAGCCCAAGGAGCGATGGGCTGGGAATCCTACATACCATCGGCGTCAACGTCCAACACCACCAGCCCAAATTTCAAGCAGCTTTTCTCTTCACTACCCCCAGGAGAAGGTTGGTGATGGAGACCAACACCATGGTTCTTCTCCCTCAGGGGTGAATGCACAGGGGGAACGGGGAGGGAGTGCTGGTGGGATCATGGTGGGAAACTCCCCATGCAGGGGCTGAGTGAGGGACACACACAGCGGGGTGAGGGGATGGATGGAGAAGAGCGATGGAGCAAGTGTTCTTCCCCAGGTGTCCTTATGGTGACACTACCCGAAGGTCTGCAGAGAGTGCAGGTTCCTTACTTGCAGGGCAATGGGTCTGAGCTGCTGGGAAGCTGAGTGAGGGATGGTGGAGGAGCAGGGGAAAAGCGAGCTCGGAGGACGTAGCACAAAGGGCTGGGCTGGGCTGCCCCACTCTGACCTTTTTCTCCGAGTACTGGAACATTTCCATGGCCTCCTCCACCTGCCCTTCCTCGTAGCCCTGCTTCAGCAGCCGGTCGCAGGCACCCAGGTAGCTCAGGAACTGGAGAAGAAGACAACCAGGGTTAATCCAACCTCATAGACATGGGGTGGAAGTGCACTCATAAGCCCACCTTGCCACGGACATGCTCGTGGGGAGGACCTGGGGCACAATTGTCCTGCTGGCTCCCATCTGATGATCAGCCAGGGTGGTCTGTCCATCAGCAGGACTCCCACCGCGAGAAGACATCTCGGTCCCCCCAACTCTCCCAGGATGGGAACAGGAACAAGGCGGAGGGAGGACGAGGAGCAAACCAAACATCTGAACCATCTGAGATACAAAACGATGACCTCTCCAGGCTGGGGGGGTGAAGCAGAGCCTGTCCCCAGGAGATGTCTACCCCCGGCCAACCCAACATCCCTTTGATGAGCCGGGGTTGGGGCGCCTGAGGGTTTGCTCCAGGGTCTGAGCACAAAACCCACCCCAAGGGAGACCCGTGTGCTTGTCATTACTGAAAGTAAACAGTTATTTTTGGCTTTCCCCGTTGTTCTTGGAGTGCTGACAGCGCTATTCCCAGCGGTACCTTTTAAATACCACCAGAATAATTCACTGTCCAAAAACATATGGGACAGACAATAATAAATGAGCTATACAATAGCAGGGGGAATAAAAACATCCCACGGGGCTCCTCGAAGCCGCGCCGTCCTCATCCAAGGAGAAGCTGATTCATGTCTCCCCAGATCCACCAGGGGCACGGACCTCCACCCTCCCCAGCACCACCCCAGCCAAGGAGAAGGATTCAGTAAAAGACCATAAAACATACGAAAAAGCCAAAAAAAAAGTCCCTCAAACTGAGCTGATCGTTTGACCAAAGAGCAGAGTGAGGATTTTAAGAAATGTCAGCCTGAAGGAGCAGCTTCTTAACTCAAAAATGAGCTATTCATTGGTCATTGGCATTCCTAAACTGTTTTTATTCTCCTCATTACTTTATAACTGACCCCCTGAGATCTCTGCTGTGTCTTCTCGCCCTGTGGCAGCAGGGACAGCCACCCATGGCAGAACACAGCCGGTCCTGGCAGCCTCTTCAAGCCCAGCATGAAATCAGGGCTGTTGTCAACTCAGTGATTTTTATCATTAAAAAATAATTATATATATATATCCTCAAGACTAAACAAAATCAGTTTTTTAAATATTATGACCCGCTAACGCCTTGGGTCTGGTACCAGCCCCACCATTCGCTGGGGAGGAGGAGGAGGTGCCACTGCCCTCTGGAAGCTCCTTCTCCCCTTGTAGGTCTCAAGGAGGTTCCTTGTTACACTTAGATGTGAAGTTCCTCCAGTGCAGGCACCCCTGGAGAGCTTGGCTGTATCTGCTACACGGCCAACTCCACCACCTCACCACGAACTGCTGGTGTGGGAAGAGACCTCCAGGCTCTGACAGATCAGTACCCTCCTGATTTGTCTCTTCCCTCGTTTGCTGCTGCTTGATGTTCTGTGCAGCAATGCAGCTTTTCACATCAAAGACAAGCCTGTGCAGTGACCTCAAGGAAATCCCTCCTCCAGTGGGATCTCCTCCAGTTTTATCTTCCATGTCCTTGTACCACTTTGGCTGATGCCCATCAGAAAGGCCTGTCCCCATGAGGTGGAGCTTCAAGTGCTGTTGAAGAAGAGCAAAGCCTTACCACCAACCATTTCACCAACTTGGTGAAGTGACTAGAAGTCACTAGCTTGGAAAAAAACACCAGCAAAGTCCACCAAAGACCCAAATCTGCCTGGAGCATGGACTAGAAGTCACTAGCTTGGAAAAAAACACCAGCAAAGTCCACCAAAGACCCAAATGCTGATTTAATCGTGGAGGAACAGAGTAAACATCTCCCCAGTCTTGCAGCAGGGTTCAAGCCAAGGACCTACAAACCTGGTGGACACTACCCCTCGGGTGCTGAGCCTCCAGGGGGACAGTGAGACCCCAGCCAGCACCGCGGGGGACAGCCCTGCTCAACTCACTCCTGCAAATGCCACCACTGAGAATGCAACTTCTACAAGTGTTGGAGAGGCTCTTGGAGCCACCGCCGGAGGCTTGTAGGAAGCACTGAAGATCTAGATTGTTGCTCAGGGGAAGACAGCAAGTTCTTGCAGAGGAGGAAGGGAGCAGGAGCACACTACAGAAGCACATGTATTATTGATTCTACAAGACTCCAACAGTCCATAGGACGAGACTCCCCATCTGTGCTTGGCCAGGAGGTGGCTGGCGCAGTGGGCTATGTCCCATGGTGAACATCCAGCTCTGAACCCCCCGTGCTTATGGCTATTTGGGGAGATGGATGCTCACCAGCTGCAGCCACTTGTTGCTTCTCAGCTCACACGGACATTGAGAGTTCCGTGGATCAACGATACATTTTTTGATCCATCAATGATCATCAACCAAGGTGCAATGATGCATTTTTAGTTTAGCCCTTGCCCATGACATCCTAGACGATGAACCTCTGGTGTGCTAGGGCAACTAACCCTGCTTGAGCCTTTTACAGAGGTTCTTCCACCAAAATTGAGAAGGCATCGCCTCTTTAAGGCAGCAGACTTGCTTTCTCCAACAGGATGGGCTCTGCCAGTTTGACTTGACGCTGCAAAGAAACGGAGCAATTTTTGGCTCCCCCCCATCTGGTACTACAATCAATCTTCCTTCTGGAAGCTGTCATCAGCACTCACTGAAACCCTGCGTGACACCAGCAAGCAATGAAGAGCACCCACAGCTCTTGTTTTTAACTTGAAACATATTTTCCAGGAAGGTTTATCCTAATTTGATAGTTTTGTACTTGCAAGAGACGCACGAATGGCCAGGCTTTACGTTTCATCTTGGCTGTGTTGGGCGTAACTGCGAAAGACGGGAACTGCTGGTGAAGGAGGTGCAGGACAGAAGGTCGACCTTGTATTTTGGTGCATTAATCTCCTCTCCAAGGGAATAGGAGGCCCCTGTTTTGACACGGAAGGGAGCAGACTGTACCCATTGCCATCCTTAATAAGACGAACTGCTTCTTCACACTGAAGCCAACAGTTGCTACAGGACACGCTTGCACAGCTCTGTGTGAAGAACGTGGGCTGGGCTCTGCCCAGCTCCCTCTGCATGGAGGAAACCTTTAGGAATTGAAGAAATAAAGCTTCCCTTCCCACCTCGGCTTGCAGCGATGATTGCCTGGAAAACCAGGGAGGGTCTGGGGAGGCTGGTCCAGCCGGGGGTGACTCAGGAGGGAACCAGAAGCTGCAGGATGACTCAGCCACAGAACGGCTTCGTGTGCCGACCAGACGGGTAAAGAGTTGGCCCACGCAGCACAGGCAGCTCCACAGGAGGACAGGATGGAGATCAGCACCCAACAGTGGCTGCTCGGAGCCATGTCTGCTCACAGGGGTCTGCTCCTGCTCCCTGGTACGACAGCCTGGTGGAACATCCCTCTTGCTAAGCTGCAATAAGCCCCTTCTCTCTCTGCAAGAGCTACTTGGATAGCTTAGCCCTACCAAATCCTCTGCTGGGATAAGCAGGTCCAACCCTAAAGCTTGCCAAGCCCAAGGGTCAGAGCCAGCAGCATCCCTCATGGCATGGATGCTCCAAGCCCACCTGGACCATGAACAGTTCATCTGGACAAGCAGAGAAAGGAAGGAAACAGGATGCAGCACAGGAGGCTGTGATGTAACTCAGATATCAGGGGTAAGAAGAGGTTGTATGCTAATTATTTTCAATAAATTCCACATTATTACAGAGGGTTCCTCAAGAAAAGAGCTCTGGGACCCGGCTGCAATGCTTTCATGGAGTCCCTGGTTGCTCCAACGCGGGGAGCTTGTGTTTTGGAGAGAGCCCAGACAAATCCCCGAGGTATTTGTACAGTCCCGCTCTGACAGGATGAGCCATGGCAATAATCACACAAATCTAACAGCTGGGGAAAAAATGATGTGCAAAAAGTTTCCATATATGGGGGCAAAATTTGTACTTCAAAAGGACACCAAGCTCCATACAACAGATCCAACAGATAACGTTATTCGCTGAAAAGCTGAGGGCGACTCATTGCTGGTTTATTACAGCAGAAGTGCAGATGTGATCTCACAGAAAACCCTCTCCACTGCACTCTGACACCAAAGTGGGAAACCCAAGGCCAGCAGAAGAAGTCCACCCCAAGCAAGACAAGCCATCCCTTTTCTCCACGAAAATCAAGTTTTTCTCTACCGAAAGCTCTCCGCGGCACCGTGCCGGCTCCACCAACCTGACTTAAGCTTTGCTTTCCAGTCTTCTGGAGGGTGAGGATGGCTTTGCGGGTGGGGTAGCCCATGGCTATGACGGGCTCGATGAGGTCTCTCTCCTCCTGGCTCAGCGCCGAGAGCAGGTCGGCCGCCGAATCCGGCTGGGATCTGTGGGAGCTGAGGGGTCGCGCAGGCGTGGAGGCCGGCGTGGAGGCAGGGGGCAGGCAGGCATAGGGGCTGAGGGACTGCAAGAGAAAAATAAAACAGCAGACTCACTAAATGATGTTCAACAACTCCTGGCTGAAGCATTTCTTTCAAAAGGCAGCAGTTACCTTGATCTTTCCAGAAAAGGAGAATTTCCGTATGTGGAACAAACCCCCTTTGGGCATCAAAGGAGACTGGGCTTAATTAAATCCAGGCTCAGCTACAGATACACATCAGGGAAAACAGTGCTCGGGAGGGTTCAGGGGGCAAATTAAGCAGAAGTAGATTCCTTTCCCTGGGAAAGAGAGGAGAGCCACCAAGCTGGGGAGGGGTCTGGAGAACAAGTCCTATGAGGAGAGGCTGAGGGAACTGGGCATGTTTAGCTTGGAGAAGAGGAGGCTGAGGGGAGACCTCATTGCCCTCTACAACTACCTGAAAGGAGGGTGTAGAGAGGTGTGGGTTGGCCTCTTCTCCCAAAGGAATAATGACAGGACCAGAGGAAATGGTCTGAAGCTGCAGCACGGGAAATTCAGAGTAGATACTAGGAAGAATTACTTTACTGAAAGAGTGGTCAGGCACTGGAACAGCCTGCCCAGGGAGGTGGTGGAGTCACCATCCCTGGAGGTATTTAAGAAACGTGTAGACGTGGCTCTTCAGGGCATGCTCTAGTGCCCAATATTATAGGTTTGTGGTGGGGTGTTGTGTGTGGGGTTGTGGGTGTGGGGTTTAGTTGGTGGGTGGTGGTTTTGGGTTTGTTGTTTTTGTGGTGGTTGTGTGTGGGTGTGTGGGTGTGTGGGGTTTTTTTGGGGTTTTTTTTTTTTTTTGGCATGCTCTAGTGCCCAATATTATAGGTTTGTGGTGGGGTGTTGTGTGTGGGGTTGTGGGTGTGGGGTTTAGTTGGTGGGTGGTGGTTTTGGGTTTGTTGTTTTTGTGGTGGTTGTGTGTGGGTGTGTGGGTGTGTGGGGTTTTTTTGGGGTTTTTTTTTTTTTTGTGGTTGGACTTGATGATCTCAGAGGTCCCTTCCAACCACTAAGATTCTGTAATTCTGGGAATCCTGGTCATGTCTCCAGCAAGAGATGCCACACTCATCCTCCACCGGCCAAGGAAGAGTCAGCGCTGCCCGATGCAGCAGGAGGATGCTCCCCTGATGCCTCGTTTATGCCCCTGATGCTGATCAGCTGTTTTTAGGTTTCTCTTACAAATCCGCCTCCAGAAATGACCTTGCACAAAGAAACACTTCCCTGAGCCTGAGGCTTTAGTTTTTTGGCAGGATCCATTTGTAACAGCAGCTGGACAATGGATCAGTAATTAGTTGCAACAGCTGTTTAGTGTATAAATACACAGGGGCATTTAATCTTTCCTTAATTACCCTACAGTTAATGCAGCTACATATAAATAACCCGGCCTTTCATGTGTCCAGCGGTTTTAATTGCGGGTTTTCAGTAATTCATCTCCTAAATCTCTTGAGTCGCTGGATAAGATGGGATTTCTTAAAAAAAAAACACGGTGCAATTCTAATTTAAGGTGACAAAGCAATATTTACTCCATCATTTCACACCGCTGTCTCTATCACAGATTGGTATTTCTAGTAGGATTTACGAAGTCTAAAGTTTCCTAGAAAAGACCTGATGGCTGTAAGGGGGTGTTTCCCCATAAACTCTGTTTATCTCTGTTCGAGGGGGGAAAAATGGAAAGGAAAGGGGGAAAAAAAACGTTATTTTGCTTTTTTTTTTTACTGTTTCAACTGAAAATCAAACAAGATGCCTTGCTTGTTGGGAAAAACAGGGATGTTTTGGTTAGGGACAGACTTAGAAAAACTAGTCAGCAATTTCACAGAATCACACAATCATCTAGGCTGGAAGAGACCCTCGGGACAATCAAGTCCAAACATCCACACTACTCTAAAGTTCTCCCCTACACCATATCCCCCAACACCACATCTAAACGGTTCTTAAACACAGCCAGGGATGGTGACTCAACCACCTCCCTGGGCAGCCTGTTCCAATGCCCAACCACTCTCTCTGTGAAGAATTGTTTTCTCCTGGGTTCAGTCTCCCCAAAGCCCCACTTTGGTTCCAGACCCCAGCAAATGGGACTGATTCAACGCCCTCCACCCCCCACTCCTCTCTCAATGACAAGGGCTACCAGGAGAAAACACCTCACCGGCACCGTGGGTTTATGCTGTTTGATCGGGGGGATGGACGTGGCCACGGATGGAGGAGTTGTCACCAAGGTCTCCAGGTGGGAAGCATCCAGGGGTGGCTCGGAGGGTACACTGCAGCTGGTGCGGGGGCGCTGGGGGAGCGGCCGTGGCACGGGGACCCCTCTGCTCTCCCCCACGGCTCGGTTCAAAGGATGCACCAAAGCAGCCAGTTTCCTCCTGGCCGCTTCCAACTCGTTCTTCATGTTGTTAAATATCACCATGGATCTTCTCTGCTTGCCCTGCTCCACGTTGGCTGGGCTGTGTTGGTTGTTCTCCGGTGGGGGTTCCAGCAAACCTGGAGATGTCTTTGGTCTGGTCTGGTAAAAGCCAGGACGCGGAGGGACAATTCTCCTCCTGGAAACCTTTTCATCCTTGTTGTTCTCTTCCCAGGAGGTTGAGGAGTACTCGTCATCCTCTGAGTACTCCTCCTCCTCTGAGTGCCAGGTCTCGCTCTCGGTGTCGGACAAGGCTCCTCTGCCCTTGCTGTGCCCGTCGGCAGCGCTCAGGCTGATGCAGCGCCGCACCGCACCGTCCCGGGCTCTCCCCCCATAGCTGTCAGCGGGGTCCACCAGCAGCAACCAGCACGGAGGAGCCGTGGGGACAACTTCAGAGGTGACACGGTGCCGGGAGGTTTGCTGCTGAGAGGCCACCTCCACCCAGTAAAGCACTTTTCTTTCCAGCGAGAAGTCGTGCTACGGAAGAGCAAGAAACGGCTGGTGAGGGCATCTGAAACCAAGACCAAGCTTCTTTCCAGCGAGAAGTCGTGCTATGGAAGAGGAAGAAGCGGCTGGTGAGGGCATCTGAAACCAAGACCAAGCAAACCACGACCTTCACGAGGGCACCTTAAAGGCTGCATCCTTCCCATATTGGCTGCTATCACCCTGGGCATCAGGGCTGGCTGGAGGCACCTGGGCTGTAGGATTGGGCAGTGCCAACCTCATCCCTATAGGGAATCCCCAAATTTATACTCGAAAAAAATCTGGCTACAAAGTTATTACTATTTTGAGTTATACCTACAATTCTTTTGATAGGTGTCTTATGCTCAGAGGTGGTTTTGTGTCAGTTTGGCAGCTGTGGAAGGGGACAGCACCTGTTAGTGGCACCTGGGCTGTAGGATTGGGCAGTGCCAACCTCATCCCTATAGGGAATCCCCAAATTTATACTCGAAAAAAATCTGGCTACAAAGTTATTACTATTTTGAGTTATACCTACAATTCTTTTGATAGGTGTCTTATGCTCAGAGGTGGTTTTGTGTCAGTTTGGCAGCTGTGGAAGGGGACAGCACCTGTTAGTGGCACCTGGGCTGTAGGATTGGGCAGTGCCAGCCTCATCCCTATAGGGAATCCCCAAATTTATGCTCGAAAAAAATCTGGCTACAAAGTTATTACTATTTTGAGTTATACCTACAATTCTTTTGATAGGTGTCTTATGCTCAGAGGTGGTTTTGTGTCAGTTTGGCAGCTGTGGAAGGGGACAGCACCTGTTAGTGGCACCTGGGAGATCCACATCAGGGGCTCAGGAGCCACCAAGGCGGGGGAGATGCCACCTTGGGCAGAGGCAGGACCAGTGTGGGAGTCTCTGGAAGTGCTGGGGGCTCAGCTGGTCCCAGAACAGAGTCGTCATTTCCACGTACTCCAGCTTAAAATACAAACATGTTTGAGACTGAAATCTGAGGGTTTTCCTGGAATAAACAAGCCCAGGCTGTCCCAGAGCTCTCCAAACAAGGCCTCCTCTGGACGGGCAGGCAAGAACATTCACAGCCCAGGAATGCCTTGTGGCAGTTTGGCAGCTGTGGAAGGGGATCACCTGTTAGTGGCACCTGGGAGAGCCACATCAGGGACTCAGGAGCCACCAAGGTGGGGGAGATGCCACCTTGGGCAGAGGCAGGACCAGTTTGGGAGTCTCTGGCAGTGCTGGGGGCTCGACTGGTCCCAGAACAGAGTCGTCATTTCCACGTACTCCAGCTTAAAATACAAACATGTTTGAGACTGAAATCTGAGGGTTTTCCTGGAATAAACAAGCCCTGGCTGTCCCAGAGCTCTCCAAACAAGGCCTCCTCTGGACGGGCAGGCAAGAACATTCACAGCCCAGGAATGCTGTTTTCACTGCTCCCTTCCATTTGTGCCACGGACCCAAACCAGCCTCTCTGAGGAAAACACCACCACGTGCCTCCACCAGGATCAGCCTGGACCACCAGTGCAATCACTCAGCCTCCATGGGGAGCATTGACGTGTCCCCAACCAGGGAGAAACCCAGGTCTGGGGGTTTCCTGGGACAGGATGGGATGGTGGACCACCACAGCTAGTCCCTGGGGATGCTCACCATCACCTGCCTTTACACGGGTGGCAAAAAACGTGTGCATCGATATTTCCTTTGGAGAAAGCACTAAAAATGAACAACACAGTAACTCTTCAGGTTAAACATGTCCTGCAGATTCGGGATCTGTCATTTTTGGAGGAGGGATGAGCAAGGCTGAACTAGGGAAAAGGCAGATGTGGGGTTTACTGCTGGTTCACCCATCACCAGGAGTGAGCCAGGGCTGGTTGGGATCACAATCACTCGGCCTCCATGAGGAGCACTGATGTGTCCCCAACCAGGGGACAGGATGGGATGGTGGACCACCACAGCTAGTCCGTGGGGATGCTCACCATCACCTGCCTTTACACGGGTGGCAAAAAACGTGTGCATCGATATTTCCTTTGGAGAAAGCACTAAAAATGAACAACACAGTAACTCTTCAGGTTAAACATGTCCTGCAGATTCGGGATCTGTCATTTTTGGAGGAGGGATGAGCAAGGCTGAACTAGGGAAAAGGCAGATGTGGGGTTTACTGCTGGTTCACCCATCACCAGGAGTGAGCCAGGGCTGGTTGGGATCACCCAAATTGCCTTCTCCCCATGAAGTGCACTGACCCCATCTATGGGGGAGACTACTTAAGGCTGAACATGCCAAATCTTCCTGAAATTGTCTTCGACTGGAGCTGTGCTCACACCACCCATCAGCCAGGAGAGCTGACTCTGTGCCCATAGGGTGGCTGTGTGGGGAAAAGCTTCCCACCCCCTCCCAGAGCACAGAGAGTTCCTTCCAATCCCTGTGCCAGGGGTTAAAATTGGTGACAAAGCTGTTACAGGTGTAGATTCAAAAGCAGTTTAGCACTGAGCAATGTGGAAGGTCATAAAGTGCCACAGAATATTTTATATATATATTATACATATACGTTGCCGGCACAGGTGGTATTGCTTGCTTACATCTGTTAGATTAATAAATATTATTAATAAATGAGATGGTGATGATTCCAGACTGGAAAACAACCCCAGAGCAGAGACCGAGGTTTGGTTTTCTACCCCAGAAAGACCCAGCCCTCCTGCTTGGGTGGGATTTAAAATAAATCAATCCTAAACCTACCTCTTCCTCAACTCCCACCCACCACAAATTGTCCTCACCTTCTCCCACTCCTGCAAACCAGCCAATTAAGAGGAGATCACTTCCCTTTAAGCATCCCCTTAGAAATGAAGGTGGGCACGGATATAAGCAGAGGGGACTCACCATGGTGCTCATGAGGATGTCGGTGCAGTCGGGGAGCTCGATGGCCGGGGCGGTGATTAAAGCATTTTCTCCTCCCGAGTCCCCGTCGAGGCTCCTGGCCATCCGGAAGGGAACCTCGTCCAGGTAACTCATGGCCCCTGCCTGATTTTTTGCTGCCAGAGGAAGGGATGAAACAAAATTGTAAAAGGCAGGAGTGGCACCTTTTCAGTTGGGTGGAAGGAGAGAAGGACGAGCTATTTCGAGTGATGTGGGTAAAAGGAACACAGTCCTTGGCGACTTGGAGACCTTGGAGACCACCAGCTGGGTAAAAACCTCTGTGTGCAATGCCCAGATTTGCAAAATTTTAATTGCTGGTACCAGGAAGATTTCACAGAATCACAGAATCTTCTAGGTTGGAAGGGACCTTAAAGATCATCTTGTCCAACCATCAACCTAACTGACAAAAATAGTCACCCACACAACAAACAAGGAGCATCATCACTAAACCATACCTCCCAGCACTACATCAACCCGTCTTTTGAACACCTCCAGGGATGGGGCCTCAACCACCTCCCTGGGCAGCCCATTCCAATGGCTGAATTCTCTGAACTAACTTCTGTTATTCTGAGCTTCGGCCAGCAGGACCTGACCAAGCTTACGGCTTCATTTGGCAGAGATCCTGAACGTTCTTCTCCTCCACTTCCACCTCCATGCACACCCTGCTGCCTTCCATCCCTCCTCCTGCCCATTGCATGCTCCCTTGCCCAAACTGGGCCCAAGCCCTTTTCCCAGCTACAGGGGCAGAAACCACAGCCAAGGAGGACACCTCCTCGCAGGTCTCCCCTCTCCACGTGACCTGAGAGCACCCGTGGTCACGGAGCTCATGCAGGTGGCCATGTGCTGCTAAAGCCACCACATGGAGCTGGGGCCAGGGTATCCCCCCCAGCGCCGCCACGGCTTACCCTGAGCCAAACAAGGAGGCTGGGGCATCAGGCAAGCTTCGGTGTCAGAGGGATGACAAACAAGCCATTTTAAGGCCAGATTAGCTTTTAAGAACCATCTATTTCAGTGCGGTGATGTTTTCCATTCAGGAATAGCAGGGGAGAGCCAAATTTCTGATGAACTGCGAATGGTGGCATGGAAAATAGGACTGCGATAGCAGAGCCATCAGTTCTGTATAAATGACTCAATTTAGGGAAAAAAAACCCACTACGTGCTGCATGAAGCCCTGAGTCCCCCCAGTTAGAGTTGGAAGGGACCTTAAAGATCAAATTTAGGGAAAAAAAAAAAAACACTACTTGCTGCATGAAGCCCTGAGTCCCCCCAGCTTCCCGGTGACAAAATAATTTCCTTTATATATTGTTATATATATGTGTGCAAAATAATTTCCTTTATATATTGTTAACTGGCAAGAGGTGATGGTGAGCAACCCAAGTTCTGGTGCCTGTTCACCCCAAAGCAGCGTCCCACAGCAACCATTCTCAGGACACCCACCATAAATACTTGCTGTGACATAGAATCACAGAATAGTTAGAGTTGGAAGGGACCTTAAAGATCATCAAGTTGCAACCCCCCTGCCCTGGGCAGGGACACCTCCCACCAGCCCAGGTTGCTCCAAGCCCCATCCAGCCTGGCCTTGAACCCCTCCAGGGATGGGGCAGCCACAGCTTCCCTGGGCAACCTGGGCCAGGCTCTCACCACCCTCAAAGGAAAGAATTTCTTTCTGGTATCTAATCTAAATCTCCCCTCTGTGATCCACAAGTGCTTTTACCAATTTTTTTCCTCTTTAAAAAGAAATGGCTTCTAGGACAGTGAGGATAAACACTCCACAAAAAAGAAAATAAGCAGGTGAACGTATACAAAATTTTTTTCCCTTTAAAAAGAAATGGCTTCTAGGGCAGTGAGGATAAACACTCCACAAAAAAGAAAATAAGCAGGTGAACGTATACAAAGAAGAAAAAGCTGCCTGTTTAATGCAAAAATAAGAGTCTATAGTGGGGAATGACATCTAAGGGAGTTTCTTTGGTGAGCAAAAGTCTAACAAAGTGCTTCCAGGCCACAAAGAGCGACAGGGACAATTGCTGGGTGCAACTTAGTCACTCTTATCAGAATTACAGAAGAGCTGTCTCTCTCCTGCTTACGCCAGGAGCCTTTAATACCCGGGGCTGTAGCACAGCAGAGCCTCTAACCAGCTTTGTGGCTCCAGCACATGTTCTGCCGCGAACACGCGACACATGCAACGTGTGGGGAGCCCGCACGGAGCCAGGCCATCTGCTCCCCAGCCTAAGAGGGCTCAGCGCAGGCTACAATCCACCTCGGTGCCCACAAACATCCCAAAACATCCCTAAGAGAAGCTGCCTTCCCCCATCTCCTCCACGGGACCCAGCCTCCTCGCAGCTTTGGCTGTAAATCAGCCCTTCCCAAAAGCTCTGGGGTACAAAGGAGGAAAACGTCCCGTCACCCGTCACTTAGAACAGCTTAACTTGGTTTTAAACACCACTTTAAGGGATGGAGATGGGTTGTGAATGTGTCTGAAGCCACGACAAAGCAACCACAGAGAGATTATGGGATGTTTCTCCACTGCATCAATGCTGTGCTCTAAGAAAGGCTCCCACAAGCATCAATTCCCAAACACACTATTTAGAAAAAAAGAAGTACAGTTGGAACGAGGAGCAATGACCACGAAAACGCTACTAGACATGAATAAAAGAGGGATAAACACCAACTTACACCAGAAAGCAACTCCTGCAAGGGTTCTGACCTCATCAGCTCCACGCCAGCCCTGCCCCTTTCACATCAAAGACACAGCGAATGAACAAATTCCTATCAGGAAGAGGATGCACCTAAAAAGCAGGAGAAACCTGAACTGTGCTGGGACCAGGGAAGGAACAGGAGGCAAATGAGTCTCAGAAATTCATAGCCAACCCCTCTTTTCTTCTGGGTTATATTTTTTTTAAACTTAAAATAGTAGGAAGTACTATACTCAAACAAGTTTGCATCCTCAATCTGAATACACAAGGTTTTTTTACTAATTAGTACCCTGTCTCCATGTAGTTTCTGAGTTAAGATTTTAAATGTTCCTCTTCCATCCGGGCCTTCAACATCTTTCTGACTAAAAATAGAAAACATTCTAACACAGATGTCCTTAGAGAAGAGCAAACATGTAATGATCACAGAAAGCTAGAGATTGAAGCGTACCTAAACATACATCACCCACTGGCATTTCCAAGTCCTATTTTAATTGTTATATAAAGTAAGTTATATTTATATTAAGTTGTCCTTACCATCAGATGGAATCATGGAGCTCTTCTCGCGGCACAGGGAGGACGGAGCTGCTTCTCTGCTGGCTTCTCTGCTGCTCAGTTCTTTAAATTCCTGCAGCGTCAGACAAGCATCTGCCTTTGACAGTTTTAAGATGACGACAGCTTAAGTGGTTAGTCTGTGTCATCAGACATGCTGATGGGATAAGGAGCCTAAACTATTTAAGCAGAGCATCCTCCGGTCACTAAGCTTCCTGAACCGCAAGCGTTGTTTTCTGCTGTTGTTTTCACACTATTCAAACTTTTGGAAGAACTGCAAACTTCTGCACCCAGATTCATCCTATCAAAAATGAGCAGTGCGTGTGCTCTTGCCAACAGAAATCAACCCAAAACTTCAGCCAAGAAACCATTAATGTCACACGTTAAGGCCCAAGTGCTGAATTCAGGCAATGATGTGTTGCCTCCTCCCTGAATCACACAATGTTGTGACACGAGGAGGTGAGGAATTGGAGATTAAATCCATTCCCACATATTAGGGCTAAGTGAGAATAATGACTGCAGCTCTAGGAGGATGCCATGACTGACCAACAAAGCTCCAAACCCTGTTCCAAGCAAACTGCCCAGAAGGCAGAAGGCTCAGAAATCCACTGCCTCTGTCACCTCAGAGGAGGGAGAAGTTCCTTCCCACAAACCTTCTCCCACCAATTCTCCCCACGTTGGGAGTAATTTTTGATGCCCAGTATTAGAAATCTCTCCCCTGGAGTAAAAATCCTTCAAACAAAAAAAAAAAATAATCCATTTTTCTCCGTTTATTCTGTACCAAAAAAACCCCCTTACAAAATAGAACTGTGTTTTTTAATCAAATATTATATACATGAACCATCCCTATACAAAAATAGCTATACAAGCAAAACCAGTTACAGTAGGTTAGACTTCAGATGTTATTGTTTTTTTCCAGCAGGCTTATTCATCAAATTTATATGTATTCACATGGCTGTCTGACCTATTTCACCACAACTGGGAATTTTTTCCATGTTGCGGTACCAGTTTTAGTCCACAAAAGCAGAATGTCAACAGCTGCTTTAGTCAACCTTGAAAAACCCTGTCTTGTTTGTACTTCAGAATTTGTTTAAACTTGTAATAGGTTCGTTTCTACACACAAAAATACAGGAACTATTTTGACAGCGATGCTTGACATGCTTCATTTAAGAAGAAAAACATGTTTACTAATGATCTCTCTTTTTTTTTTTTATTTCTGGAAATTTCATCATCTGGATTTAGGTTTATAAAGATAAAAGCCACTAAAAATAGGATGTTAATACTGGCACAAATAGCCTTGTCAGTAACATTTCTTCAGTAAGGTTGAGAGATTTGTTAACAAAAACTCGCAGCGGGATTGTAATTCCGTCCCGCGAGAGGCCGAGCAGCTTCGGGCTCGCTCAGATAATTCCCCCCAGAGTCAGATGGCACAAACATTTCTTACACTTTTCTTCAAGACATTCCACTGTCTGGCTACCGAAACGTAGAGGATGAGATTTCCTCTTCAAACCCTCTCGTATTTACACACGTAACTGTAATGAAATGTTCCTCTGATGTTAAAATAACTTATTAGTAAATTATCTGACAGCCGTGGCCCAAGTGTCGTTAGTGGGGAGACTGGGAAGAACCCATCCTGGAGGGATGCAGCTTCCGTCGGGGTGATCAGCTGGCACCAAGTACTGATCCCATTCGTGCCTTTAACAGAGAAAGCATCGTTTGAGAGGAGAGCTGGTAGGGGTTTGGTAACAAGATATATTAGATACCCACACAGCTATTTTTCCATACCGATCGATACACAAAACACTGTAAAACGCACTCCCAAAACTTGTTTTCAATACAGAAATATGAAAATTATATGTACTAGTCTATTAAATGGAATGGTTACGCATTAAAGTGCACTCTGCCTCACACAGGCATCTCTATCAAGCGAGAAGCTTGATCCTTAGCTGAAAAAACCCAGGCCAATCCATTGCATAACCATATCTGGGAGTTAACGAACCAAAAGGGACCATAATTTTACAATCTCAACAAACAATGCTTGTCATTTTCGATCATACAATAAAGACTTTGTTTAGTTTTACCTGATCTGGATCAGAGCTGCTACAGAATGCTCAGCCTGTAAGTAATACTCTCTGAAGGGCTGCAATAGATGGGCCAGAGGAAATTCATCTGTTAAAACACAAACAGAGAAATCATTCAATAAACCAGAAAGAACTTTGATTCTAGTAAGTCTTAGAAGCCTCAAATTTGCCAGCTTGCTTGCTGCTCCCCAGCTATAACCTGCAATCCCTTCCCCATGTAATATATGAAGGACTATTTAGATGTTTTGCACGTCTCCAAAACTTTTCCTGCCTCTACCCTCTAAACAAGGGGAACATAAGGACACTGAATCTTCACAGACTACCCGAGTCGCACTTACCAAGTCACCAGACTAAAGCATCTGTTGGGTGCTGGAAATCTTCAATCTCTGCTGTTTATTCTCACTTTCAGCTTAATCTACAACCTCTTCTTGCAAAACACTATGAAATCGGCTTGAGATACGCTGCAGTCTACGCTGCAGAGTTAAACACATCTTATATCACATGTGTTAACAGCACACTCCATGTCTTCCTCAGAGCATAAATTACTCCAGGGGGTGATTTCTTTCTCAACTGTTTTTGCTCTCACATTTTAAACCCAGTGTCTGTGAGACGGAGGCGTGGTGTGGAAAAACACCGTGAAGTGCAGCAGAATTTACCTGGATCCCCAAACAGCTTGGAGTCAATTTCGAGTTTCTGCTGTAGTAGTTTTTCCCTTTCCTTCTTCTGTTTCTTTTCCATTTCTCTCTTCCTTTCCTCCTCCTGTTCTCCCTCCAACATTACTCTTAATGCTCTCTCCTCGGCTTCGTACAGCTCTGTGCGGTTTTTGAGCAGCGTTTTGAGGCTCTCCACCTGACTTTCAAACGCTTCGTCTGCTGAGGGGGGGGGACAAACACCTAAACAGAAAAAGAATTCATTTTAAAATTTTCAAATTCAGAAGGGGCTCTGTTATCATACTTGAAAGCAGAGCTGGCAAAATCTCGGAGGAACATGAGCTTAACCTGGCTCACATCACCTTATTTCCTGTGCATACAACTAAAAAAGTTTGGTAAAAATCTTGTAATTAACCTTTCCTGGCAGCTGCCTCTTTCCTCAGTTTCCGAAGCTTTTCTAGCGCGCGCAGGATGTCCACCATCCTCTTTGTGTCTGCTTGTTTCTTCCGTACTTCAGACAAGACACTGTCTGCAGCAGCCTTAAGTTCTTGCTCCTATGAAAGAGACAAAAAAAAGACACAATGTGTGAAATATTACTTGAAAGCAGAGCTGGCAAAATCTCGGAGGAACATGAGCTTAACCTGGCTAATAACTATCTGACTGGAATAATTCTTCTATCAAGAAAGAGCTTAGAAATGTAGGAACACAAGCACTGTAATCAGCATTTTATAGCTATTCCTGCATAACCACTTAACTAAAATCACTAACAAAGAAGCAGCTTTTTCAAGCTGCACCTTCCTAGTCAGCTCAGGGTACAGACATCACCTTATTTACTGTCCATGCAACTAAAAAAGTTTGGTAAAAATCTTGTAATTAACCTTTCCTGGCAGCTGCCTCTTTCCTCAGTTTCCGAAGCTTTTCTAGCGCGCGCAGGATGTCCACCATCCTCTTTGTGTCTGCTTGTTTCTTCCGTACTTCAGACAAGACACTGTCTGCAGCAGCCTTAAGTTCTTGCTCCTATGAAAGAGACAAAAAAAAAGACACAATGTGTGAAATATCCCACGTAGACAAAAATAAAACAGTACTTTCAAAAAGATTAGTGAAGCACTGGAGATCAGAGTAACTTCCTAGTGACACAGCCATCGTAAGTTCAGTCAACCATCCAACCTTGCCTTTTTGTGATAAAGCTAAAACATAACAGACTTCAGGAAGTAATCATAAAAAAAAAAAAGCCGAGCAACTCATAAATTTGGGGCAAAAGGCTAATGAATTCAAAGAGCCTGATAACCTTTCACCACAGAAAGATAGGAAAACCATACAATAAACATAAACCATCCTGATTCTACAGCTCAATAATTAAAGACCATTAACATGGCCCAGCCCAAACACAAAAACTTTCCCAGCAGCTGCTCCACACCCTCCCAGTAGCAGACCTAGCACCAGCAGAAGCATAGCTCTTCAGCCAACACAGAAGTGCCTACTGCACTTCCCAGCAAGCCTAATTTGGAGTGGTTTGGCTTTTGGGGGTTTCTTTTTCTGCTTTGGAGCCGTTTTACTTCCCAGTGAGATTGAAAAGCTTGCAAACAAGCAGCTTTACAAGGACGCAGCCTGTAGGCAAAGCTTACAATTCCTGAAACGGGGCTGAGCATTGATGGGGAGCTGTGAGCAGAATGGGGCAGGTTGACATATTGGGACCAGAGAGAAGGACCTCCACACACAACCCAGCATCCAGAAACCACCTAAACAACAACCGCCAAGGCCTAGGAGAGGAGCGTGGCAAAGCTGAGACGCCCACCAAGGCTTTTAGGGGAAGAAGCAGGGCTGCAGGCCTTGGGAAGAGCCTGTCTCCAAGCAAGGCAAACCCACGGAGCACCCAGGTGGCACCTACTGAAAAGCAAAGGGCCAAAGCCAAATGGGGGGCAGGCATAGCCTGCTGTGAGCCCATCACCCACAGGTCTCCCCCCGGTTCTACCGGGATGCCCTGCATCCCCGAGGGACACGCAGGAGACCCGGGAGGTCATGCTACAGAGGAAGGAGACAGGATGAAGGCACTCCGGTCCCTACCCGGTTCTTCTCCTCCACCTCCTGGATGCACTTGGCCCTCCACTGATCGATCTTGGCCTCCCTCTCAGCGGCTCGGGCCGCCTCCTCCTCCTTGGCCGCCCTGGCTTCTTGCTTCCTCCGCTGCAGGCGCTGCCTCCTCTTCCTCGCCCTCTCAGCCTTCCTCCGCAAGGCCTCCCGGTAACCGGGCTCCCTCAGCGGCCGCACGATCTCCTGCAGCTCCCGCCGCGCCGCCTCAGCCTCCTCCTGGGCCTGGGCCCAGCCTGCCTCATCCCCCTCGGCCTCCCGCCGCCGGAGG